TTATTAACGGTAGCTATCCTTTCATCCATCTACCAATATATATACTATATTTTTTTTAGTGCAAGATTTCTAATATGCTCTCAATAACACATACCACTGTTAAAGATTTAAAATGTTTTTTTTGAGGGTTTCATTTGGGGATGTTTCAACCAAATGGTTGAGGTTAGCAATAAGTGAGTGAATCTTGTATCATGAAGCCAAGTTGAGAGAGCTTTTAAGATCAATTGATGAGAATAAATACTGGCTGTATTTTTACATTATGAAAGGAAAGACAATCAGTCAGTATTATGCAAGGAATCAATCGTGGAAATCTCGCGTTGTGTTAGCTTTGAAAGTAACACGCGTCAACAACAGCTATGAATCAATTCGGTCTTATTTATCATAAAGGATACAGCTCGCTCTGCCCTCAGCTATCTGTAACAGACGTGAGCAATTTATAAACTCAAGCTTAAATTAGAAAAGCAGTTGTGAAGTGCGTCATTAAGCCAATAGAATCACCCAAGTAACCAGTCGCAAGATTGACGTCAATCTGAATAGTGGTCACGTGACCTAAGCACAAAATTGCCACGGTATTATGAATGCTACAAATTTTACGGCAAGCATCTTCCAAACATAAAATATTTAAATGAAATCTTGTAAAATCCTAGATCTTACTGTACATTTGATATTGAATGAGACATTCATTAAATGTTTATTGTTATTAATATTTAGCTAGAACATATATATGAATTTTTAAATTTAGAATTTTAGAGGTGTGTAGTGTGTGAGTTAAGATTGATTGAACATTTTGATTGATTTAATTCATGGATAACAAAGGATTACTAATTTGTTTGAATTTACATTTTTTTTTTGGTATTCCATAAAACATTTTAACAGTATTTTTAAAATATTTGATAAAAAAAATTGACTAATTTTGAAATTCCAAGTGAGTTGGACTTAAAGTCAAAGATAGCACAAAATTAAGCCTAAAAGAATCTAGTAATTGTCTTTTTATAATTGTCACACATTTTAATTTACAATATTAAAATTCTGAAGGGTTACATCAAGAAATATATTAATTTAATGTAAATTTATAATATTATATTAAAAATAGAATATTTTTTACTGGATATTTATAGTAGTTATTACCATTTACCTCTAAGCGATTTTGAAACTTATGGTTGATAATGACAAGAAAATTATATACCTTGTAGTATATATTGATAATATTTTTAATCATCAACATACACAGTTTATGAATAGTCTTGAATTTATATTTCCTAATAATAATTTCATTATTAATTCATAATTTCTATATTCATATTTTCAATAATAATATTTATGTTCATGAATTTTATTATAACAACATGTGATAAATTGAGTGGAATAATTTATACTTGATTAGGCTCCAAATTAATTGCAAAAATATCGTTCCTTTCTTACATTCTGATCCTGGATGAATTAGTCTCTTCATTAATTATGTTCCATTCTTAGCAACTCATTGATATGATGTTTTGAACTCTGACCCTGCATAATAATTCAGGATCAGAGTTCAAAACCAATCAAAAAGTAAGTCACATTTGATAAAGCAACGTTTCATTTGGTGTGCACAACTTGTATCATAAATAAATAGCAGTCAAAATTAATGAAACACTATAATAGAAAATAGTACAATAATTTCTACTGTACATGAAAAAAATGATGTCATATGACCCAAACTTTAGTTGTAATAATATTAATAGAATCTTTAAATTTAAGACAATATACTTGTTCTTTTACTAGAATTAATGTGATTAAATAAGTTTAATGAAAATTAAGTAAAATAAAATTTAAGAGTAAATCAAAATAAAAAAATTTGATAAATAAAAATAAATAAATACATTAGGATGAAGATGAAGAACTATTTTAAAATTAATACATGATTCTGTTGGACACTGCAGTTAAGGACTAAAAATTTATTAAATGTATTGTAATAAAAAGTATTTTTATTAAAATCTGTAAAGTTAAAATAAATATAAGATTAAAAATTAAGTAAAAATTTAATATTTTTATTTATTCGTTCTTTATACTGAAGGCACTTTCAGTACTTGCACTAATTTTCAAAGTCGTACAGGTTAAACATAACAAAAATAAAACGAATATATATATGAATAAACCAAGCAAGAGAATAGTCAATGAAATACATATGTAATAATATTGTTTTGTAATGAAACAACATATTTTTAATTAACTATAAATTATTAATTAAAATTTAATGAAAATTAAAGTAAAATAAAATTTAAGATTAAATTAAAGTAAAAAACAAATATAAATAAATAAATGATAAAGATGAAATATTTTAAATTAAAATCTTGGAAGTTGTTAAAATGAATATAAAATTAAATTAAAAATTAAGTAAAAATTAAATATAAAAATTGAAATAAAATAGGAATTAAGTATAAATATAAATTGATTAAAATTTAATGAAAATTAAGTACAATAAAATATAAAATGAAAATAAAAATTAAATACATAAAACTAAAGATGAAATTAAAATTTTGCAATTTATCTGTTTTACTTTAATGAATTTGTTAATGTTTAAGATCTAGTTTAATTTTCATATTGTCTTTTATTGTATATACTGAGGGTCCCAATTGATCAGTTCTGGCTGGATGAACCACCCTCATAAAATAATGTTGAAATACAATAAATAAATATATTAATAAACAGAACGGCCGTCCCAAGGCAAAACAACGTAACTGACATTTTTGTCGATTTTGAGATAATTTATCATTTGGGAGTATATTGCGTCTGAATGACCTGTGAAAATTTCAGGTCTCAATAATGAGTCGTTTTGGAGATAGCACAAAACTTAAAACCTAGTGATTTTCCATGGCAAAACAACGTAACTAAAAAATTACGCAGCAAAACAACGTATCTGCAATGAAGATACATTGTTTTGCCACGGAATGGTCTTCTAAAATTGTCTTGAGCCGATGGAGTTTGGCAAGGCAACACCAAATGGTTATTGGTGTTTTTATATCAATAATCTTAACAGCGATGTATGAACAAGCTAGATAAATCCCAAAAATATGTCGCACTTGCAACAATACCGAGCCTGACATGTTTCCGAGGCAAAACAACGTATCTGTAATTATCGCTAATTACTTTGCAATAAACAAGATTGTAATTAAAATTCTACATATAATCACAATGTCTATAGATATATAATCCTGCAAAATTTCAAAAGGCTACAACAATTTATTGCAAAGTTACAAACACACAACTTTATTTTAAGTTATGTTGATTTGCCACGGAACGGCTGAAAAAAAATGGACATCACATAAATATTGCAATGTTGGAAATGAAAAAGCCTGATAGAATAAAATATATTTCAGGCCAGTAGGTTTTTGTTCTTTAACAGATTATCTTGCTTTTATTTCTACCATATCAGTTGTTAAGGTGATTGTGTTTGACAGTGTCCTCACCATTGTATAAACACGGTAGAGAAGTTCATTGCTACAATTTATCAAAATCATAATTATTACAATGTTACCAGTCTGTAAATAGATTATCAAGATCCCATTACCATTGACTTAAAAGCTTAGTGTGTATATGAGATTTGCATTTTATCAATATACATTTGCTATGTTCATATAATACCGTGAAACCTCAAATAGAAGCCTTGGGCTTCTGGTTTTTTTGGGGTTTTTTTTTTTTGTGTGTGTTTTTTCGACCTTTGGATGGGCTTCTTTTTTGAGATGGTTTCTTTTTTGAGATGGTTTCTTTTTTAAGGCTACTTTTGCAAAGTAAAGAGGGGGCTTCTTTTCAAAATAAATGCTGTACATTTTGGGAATTATTACTATAAAACAATAAGTAGGGCTACAACAGTCTGTATCATGGAGTGTATTAACCAGCATTAAATCACCTACATTACTATAATAAATCAAGCGTATTTTTAATTTATTTTGTTTATTTGAAATTCATGTACAGTGTGTGTACTGTACTATCTTGAAAAAAAGCCCATGTTATCTTGAAAAGAAACCCATGAGCTTTTTTTCGAGATGTGCTCCTCTTCGAGGCTATGTTTGCAAACAAATATGGAGTTTCAATTTAAGATGGGCTTCTTCTCAAGATCAAGCCCATTGGGCTTCTATCCGAGATTTTACAGTATAAATTGGCTTTGCGTTTGTTTTGTAGATATTTGCTATGTTCATATAATAGGATATTTTAAAATTTTTTAATTGAGTATTTTTTGTAATTCTATCAATTATTTAATTTTTTTTTTTGCAGTTGATATATTGCCTATGCAAATCTTGGAGAGCTAAACATCCAAAGGACGAAGAACAGCGAATATGTATGCCCCAAATCAAGCCCCACACGCACAGCGGGGCCCCTGTCCAGCCCCCTCAACAACCTTATTCATACGATGCAGTTTCAAAGAGGAGTGACCCAATAAGAATCAGGAATATTCAAGAACGGTAAGGTTCATATTAAGAAGTATGTTTATATTTTGGTGGCCATGTTATATAATAGGTCACGACCTCTATGCGCCTACAACATTAATAGGGAGCTTTCGGTTTGTGCGACGACGCAACGTTAGTACGGAATAGATGTGTATAAGAGACAGAAATAATGTTGAAAAGTCTGTATCATGGAGTGTATTAACCAGCATTAAATCACCTACATTACTATAATAAATCAAGCGTATTTTTAATTTATTTTTTTTATTTGAAATTCATGTACAGTTTACTGTACTATCTCGAAAAGAAGCCCATGTTATCTTGAAAAGAAACCCATGAGCTTTTTTCGAGATGTGCTCCTCTTCGAGGCTACGTTTGCAAACAAATATGGAGTTTCAATTTAAGATGGGCTTCTTCTCGAAATCAAGCCCATTGGGCTTCTATCCGAGATTTTACAGTATAAATTGGCTTTGCATTTGTTTTGTAGATATTTGCTATGTTCATATAATAGGATATTTTAAAATTTTTTAATTGAGTATTTTTTGTAATTCTATCAATTATTTAATTTTTTTTTTGCAGTTGATATATTGCCTATGCAAATCTTGGAGAGCTAAGCATCCAAAGGACGAAGAACAGCGAATATGTATGCCCCAAATCAAACCCCACACGCACAGCGGGGCCCCTGTCCAGCCCCCTCAACAACCTTATTCATACGATGCAGTTTCAAAGAGGAGTGACCCAATAAGAATCAGGAATATTCAAGAACGGTAAGGTTCATATTAAGAAGTATGTTTATATTTTGGTGGCCATGTTATATAATAGGTCACGACCTCTATGCGCCTACAACATTAATAGGGAGCTTTCGATTTGTGCGACGACGCAACGCTAGAACGGAATCACTCATGCGTGACTATCCTACCTGGCGTCTACGTTCTCTGCATATGTAGATTTGGCCAAATTGCGTTCCAGAATCTACTCGATGAGGTGACCTTAACGTTCTCGCATGCGCAGATGACTTTTAGTGACGTCATTACGTTCTACGTCCTACCGTCGTCGTGCAATCGAAAGCTTCCTATTACCCCAATCAGTGCAACAAATGCCCATGGAACATATCATATAATTGCAGGCCTCGAATTTGGGGATTTTATGGGCAAGGCCAAATGGCCTCTGGTATGACATGATTTTGAAAGGCACCAAGGCCAAATGGAAAGGCACCAAGGCCAAACTTTCAAGTATAAAAGGGCACCCAAGGCAAAATTTGATTTAGCCTCAGTACTAATTTCTCGCGAGTGCCTTGATTCATTGGTAGCCAGGCTAGGCAAGCTAGGCCTAGGCCAAGCCAAGCTAGGCCTAGCCAAGCCATAGTTCAATGGTAATATGACTTTGTTTAGAGTATTCTATTAATTATCGATTCAATGTTGGAATATACTGCGGCGGTCGGCGGTCGTACAAAACAGTCAAATTTCAAGACGTTCGATATCTTTGTGCTGTTGCTCAGTCCGTCGACATCGGAGAGGAAGCCACAACTCTAAACTGGCCGCGAAAGCTGCGATGACGTAAGGTCGCCCAAAGTTAGCTGTGCAGCAAGCACATTTTTACAATATACAAAGGCCGTATTCGACTGGTCGTTCTTCATTAAACCACGCCCACCTGCGCGCAGCGGTAACATCCTACTCAACGAAGACGACCAGTCGAAGAGAAAACTTCTAATACTCGACAAAACAAAATGGCTGTATAGATACCGCGAAAAACGTTGCATAATCAAGATCAATTCAATTTGGTAGTACGGGTTTTTCGTTAAAAAAAAATATTTTCATCCAGTTTTTTTTTTATTCTGTTTGCCTACAATAATTTTTTGACTCCATGTGGATAAATATTATAATGTTTATTTATAAAATTTAATCTAAGTTATATTAACGCAAATGTTGTTAATAAAAAATCACCAATCGGACATGTTTGTCTTTGGTCACGTGGGTAACTTAACACTGATTAACGCACTCTGGTTTACGTCAATTTTCGTTGTCAACAAAGTCTAACGAACCAGTCAAATCAAAAAAATACTCAACAAAAATTTGTTCCAACGAAATGAACCAGTCGAAGCAGCCCATGTTTATATTGCAATAACCGCTAGAGTAAGATGCATGCGCACACAACCGTAACCGCAAAAACAGTTCATATCAACAACACACATGAAAATTCTCTCATGTTCTGTTCTGTCACTGCAACCTTGCTTAGGCTAGCTTAGTCGACCTACGTTTTTGGCTTTCGTGTTTTCTTTCAAGATTTAAACATTAGACTTAGATTTATTTTACGTGTCAAACGATCGATATTAAGCATCGTGTGGGCATCGAGGCCAAGGCTTCAAAAGGGCAGGCAAGTAGTGGCCGTCGTCGTGCTTCATTTTTCAGGGGCACCAAGGCCAACTGGGAGGGCACCGTTGGCAATGGCTGCGGTGGCCGCGGTTAAATTCGAGGCCTGTAATTGTAGCAGTAATGGGCGCATGTATTACCCCAGTCAGTGCAACAAACGCCCATGGAACATACCATATAATTGTAGCCGTAATTAGCGCATGGTGCTTGAAACTACTACTCTTGGGTGGATAGACAACCGTAAGTAAAGTGCCTTGCACAAGGACACAGGCAGAGTTCACAGTGAAGGCTCGAACCTTTGACCACAAGGTTAAGAGCCTGATTCTCAAAAACTGTACCGATCGCTTCGCTTCCTTTTCAGATACATATAGATGAAAAATATTAGAATTATAAATTAAAAATATAAATACAAGGTATGCAAGCAAGTATAAAAAATAAAAAGATAAGCAAAAAAATTTGTGTTGGGACACCCTGAAAATAAAGGAACACAACAGGATTGAAAGAGACACAAATCAACAAAAAAAAACCAGGCCAGCAAAGCAAAACATACCGGTTAAAAAACAATTTGTGGCCGACTGATCCAGATGTCCCAATGTTATTTAATACTTCACCAATTTTATGGTGAAAATGATAAAAAGTATAATTTTTGATATACTTTTCATGCTCATATGTTTGCTGCAAGTTATTAACTTTATTAACACGCACAGTCATAAAAACATTCAAATTATATTTACAAATGAAGAATAAAACATATGTCCGGAAACAAGCAGTTGTGGTAAGCAACACACCGTCTTTGCTGGGCAAACACACTTTAACAATACAATTCAATATCTAAATTGTTACTCTGTTTATTTAAGTATGTTATTGGCTTCCAACTGAAAATTTAGAGCATGGAAATATTTGTTTTGCCATTTAACAGCTGTACATAAGCCCATACCTGGCGAGTCAAATGGCTGAGCGGTTAAAGCAGAGGTGCCGCAACATACGGCCATATTAATACCGGGTGTGGTTTGAAATGGTGGTGGTAGAATAAGTCTTCTTAGATAAGGACTATAAACTATACGCCCAGTGTGCACCATTTGACTCATGTGCATTTTAAAGAACTCAGTACATCAAGACGAGTTTTTGGTTACCCAGCAGCTGCTAGTCCACACATTGAACGCTTTCAAACTTCGGTATAAGCGTTATATAAACCCAACTATATTACATTACATACTGTAATGTGTTTTTCATAGATGTGTAAATTGCCTGGAGATCAACTAAATGATTTTTTAATGGAGATCAACTAAATGATTTTTTAACTACCAAGTCTGTAAACAAAAATAACAACGTAATAATAATAATAATAATGAAATCAAAAGGTAATAATGATAATCAAATAACAATAAAAAAAATAACCATAAAAATTGATAATAAAATAATAACAAATAACTTTGAATAATTGAGTGATCATTGAAGTTAAAGCAAAAACTACGGAGGAAAAGCAGGAGAAAAGATTTAAAGCGAGATTTAAATAGGTGGGAGATCGAAATTGATCTAGTGGCAGGTGGGAGTGTACATTCCAAAGTTTAGGTGCAAGAAAAGAAAATGAATGTAGTCCAGTTTTGACATGTTTTTTAACCAAATACAGTAAAATGTTGAAAAAAAGAGTTGGATATTTCTTCCAAAAACCAAATAACTTCAAATCTCTGTCTGGATTATCAAATATTCTTTTACTAAAAACTGTTGTATGCCCATATATAGTCATGACATGCCTATATATGGTCATGATGTGATGTCATCATGACCATATTTAGGCATGTCACATGTTTTTAGTCAAATATAATTTGATAGTCTGAACAGGGTTTTAATTTGATTGGATAAAATTGTCACATGTTCATGATTGTTAAGAATATTGTTTTGGTATTGATGGTGGTGTTTAATTGGTGTAGATAATGATGATTGTAATTTATTTATTTAATTTTTAGTGTATGTATAGCGCACATATTCATTTCAGAATTAAAAACTGCCTAAAGTGCTTTCTTTGGCCATTGGATACGCAAGGTGCGTCTTGCTCCTCCCCCTGGGGAGTATTCCTACTCATGCGCGTAATTCAGCTCTGCTGATTTCATTTCGATTCATTCACCTCCTACCTGGTACCCGTTTTTATACTCCTGGTTGAAGCGAGGCAAAATGTAGATAAAAGTTTCTTTTCTATAGCAGTAGTAGTACTTCACAAGCAGTGTGACCGGTGTTGGCCTTGATCTTGTGACCTCTAGACCAGTGGAGTATCTAGAAAAAGTGTATCCAAGTATGCCTGGGGAAACCACTTCACCAGTGCAAGGCAACCACTTGCTCCACCTTCAGTCATTCTCCCAATTGAAAATGTTGAAAGTAAAAAAAAAATAATTCTCAAGTAGTTAAAAATAACCTAACATCACCTTATTATGTGAGCTAGCACCCCTTGCTTAATCATTGAGCTCCTCTCCTATAAACCCCTCCCCATCATCCCCTCTACCTTATCCCTCCCCATCAACCCCTTCCCATCATATCCTTTCCCATCATCCTCTTCCCCATCATCCCCTTTCCCATCATCCCTCCCCATCAACCACTTCCCCATCATCCCTTCCCATCATCCCCTCCCCATCAGTCCCTCCCCGATCATCCCTTTCCCATCAGTCCCTCCCCATCATCCCTCCACCAACATCCCTCTCCATCATCCCTCCCCATCATCCCTCTCCCAAGCTTCAACGCACTTCACATTACCATCAAAATACATACACGGTTCCATGGGGAATGATACCATAATGTTGTTGTAGTCAGTGCAATGACGTACAAAGCTAATTGTGCTCACCAATGGGTGGAGAGAGACAACAGGGATAAGTACGGTGGACACAGCAACATAATGTACTGACACGTTCCTAGGGGAATGCATGACCTTAATAATGTGTTTAATTTTAATGTATCAATAAAAATAAATGTTATTCTCACTACGCTTGAGTTCATTACAATTTCAATAATAATGTAACCGGGGATATGCAAATGAGGAGGCCAAAAGCATATTGAAGCTTTGGCCGTGTAGGAAAAAAGAAAACCAAACAAAATCTAAAAGTACAAATGTGAAAATTCAACCATCAATTTCATTGATGATATCAATGTTATTTGATTATATTTTTTTTTTTACCAAATTGTTTATATTATAAACTTTTTTTTTTTTTTTTTTTTTTGTTATTGGACCCTAATAGAAATACACCTATGTTTGCATTGCATTTTGGATGTCGTGTACTCCTTTTTTTTATTTTCAATACCTTATAGGTTTGTCATTTTTTTTTTCTTCAGTACAAATAAAAAGAGTGAAATGAATGAAGTGATATTCAAAATAAGTATCTTTGTTTAAAAAATAAATTATACCTAAAGATGTTTTAATGACATTGGCATTGAATTCCAAAGTCGAGACCCATGATTGAAAAATTGAATTTAATCAACTATATAATCAGACTGCCTATGTGAGTAAAATAGTTTAATATGAATTTGATTGTTTTTTTGCAAAATAAATGAGTTTAATATGTATGTTTTCCTTTTAACTTGAGACAGAAATCACATTACATTGTAACTAAATATAATATTGAACCTACGGAAAGTATACTATGCCTAATGAAGTGACAAGAGTCCAACGGCTACACCTGAAAGAGATCTTACACGTTTCTGGATGAAAGTAGCCTTGAAAATGAGTTGCTTGGCCCATTTTTTACAATTATACCGTAATTTAAGTAAGAGTAAATTAGATTGGAATAGATAAGTTTTGAGGACGATAAGGAGAATTATTTTGAAATTTGTGGATAGAAAGGTTTAGTGTTTCGGTTAAAACATGCTTGTGATCTTTTCAGGAAGTTTTGTGATCAAGTGGCATTTAATTAATTGTCTGTCTTTTTTTTTTCAATAACTCCTTTTACTGTTATGTAAATAATGTTGGTCAGTTGTCACGTCATCATTTTCATTCCACCATAACTTTCTACTCCCAAGCAGACATTAATTGAATAAAGTGTCTGGTATTTTTTGCATCTTATGTGATTTCTTCATGTATATTATGTAAACTTGTCTATAATCAAAATAAGTATGATGTTATATGCATACATGCATAACGTACCACATGTAGTTTGTGGGAGCGGTTTATATATAATTGCCTCAAAGCATGTGGCTCAGTGGCAAGGCTTTTGACTTCCAATCAAAATGTTAAGGGTTCGTGTCTCAAGCTCGGGATTTCTTGGTACAAGGCACTTCATAATATTGTTCACTCTTAACCCAGAATAAAGGTAGATATAAGTTTGAATGTCATTAAGCTAATTATTTGCTACAACATTATAGGGTAATGCAATATAGTTGGATTTATATAGTGCTTTATACCGAAGTCTGAAAGCTCTCGCGGTGTGGACTAGCTCAGAGTGCGGCATATGAGTTACGTAGGTGTTTGATCCAATTAAAGGTGCAGTAATGTGAATCGCATCGAGGTACTGTATTGTCATTATGTGCTCTATAACATTGACGTATTATTAAATTACCTTAGTGTTAATCTGACAGCGTATGGCTTAAGCAACTGCATTTACAATGAATGAATGAAAACTGTTATTCTTAAATGAAATTAGGTAAAGGTAAAGGTAGGAGAATGACCCATAACCTGCAGTGTCATTGTGCTGAATAGCATATGGGCGTGGTCTGTTAAGAGGCGCTTACATTAGCTTCATGTACACATCCTTTCAAATGACAGGAGTTGAAATTAACCATAACATCGGGGTAACCACCTACTCTTCTAAAAGATGCAATTTGTTCTTTAAAGTGTACACGAGTCAAATGTGTACATTGGACCTCCATTGTAAGTACTTATCGGAGAAGACTTGGTTCTACCAACCGAAATTCTTGTCTTCTGGGCGAGGAGTGGCTCGAACAAGCACAGGTGTTAAGGCTATAGTTTGCGCGCCTGCCTCACTACTCGCCTGCTCAACTCGCACAAGAAATTACTATGATATTTGGAACAATATGGACGATGAAAATAATTAAGAGTCTGTTTAATTATACATTTTTCTTTTGTTGTTTCAGGAGGAGGTCGGACACTTCTTCAACGACATCATTAACGATAGATGTTGTAGTTCCATCAGGAACAAGAACTTTCACTGTATCACCACCAAGAGAAAGGTTGGTACACGTTGTATTCAAATCATACTGATAATAAATATACTTTAAAAATATAACAAGGGGATTCATTCAGCAAAGCTTGTAATTTGAAATCATTGATGCAAGTGTCATGGGGCCTGTGAAGTGGAGAGTCCATTACTTGGGGAGGGAATCCTTGATTCTCTATAACCTAGTGTCTCTTTAGGAAGCATGAGGGGATGGACAGCTGATCTTTTGGAACACTTGATGCTCTATAACCAAGTGTCTTTTGAAGCATGGGGACTGGAGAACTTAGTCTTGTTAGGAAGCATGGACAATGGAGAACTGATCTTCTGGGACCCTTGATAATCTATAGTCTCTTTAGGAAGCATGGGGAATGAATGGAGAGCTAATCTTTTGAGACCCTGCTGCTCTATAACCAAATACCTTTAGGAAGCATGGGGAATTGAGACCAGATCTTCTGGGACCCTTGATGCTCTATAACCAAGTTTTTTTTTAGGAAGCATAGGAAATGGAGAGCTGATCTTCTGGTTAGGAAGCATGGAGAATAAAGAGCTAATCTTTTGGGACCCCTGCTGCTCTATAACCAAATATCCTTAAGAAGCATGGGGAATGGAGAGCTGATCTTTTGGGACCCCTGCCACTCTATAACCAAATACCTTTAGGAAGCATGGGGAATTGAGACCAGATCTTCTGGGACCCTTGATGCTCTATAACCAAGTTTTTTTAAGGAAGCATAGGAAATGGAGAGCTGATCTTCTGATTAGGAAGCATGGAGAATAAAGAGATAATCTTTTGGGACCCCTGCTGCTCTATAACCAAATACCTTTAGGAAGCATGGGGAATTGAGACCAGATTTTCTGGGACCCTTGATGTTTTATAACCAAGTTTTTTTTAGGAAGCATGGGAAATGGAGAGCTGATCTTCTGGTTAGGAAGCATGGAGAATAAAGAACTAATCTTTTTGGGACCCCTGCTGCTCTATAACCAAATATCCTTAAGAAGCATGGGGAATGGAGAGCTGAATTTCCGGGACCCTTGACGCTCTGTATCCAAGTATCTTTAGGAAGCATTGGGAATGGAGATCTGATCTTCTGGGACCCTTGATGCTCTATAACTTAGTCTCTTTTGGAAGGGTGAGAAATGGAGAGCTGATCTCTTGGGACCCCCTTGGGAAGCATGGGAAACAGAGCTGATCTTCTGAGTCTCTTTAGGAGAGCTGATCTCTTGGGACCCCTGATGCTCTATAAGCAAGTCTCTTTATAGGAAGCATGGTAAACGCAGAGCTGATCTTCTAGGACCCTTGATGCTCTATGACCTTTAATCGAGAAAATAAAAATGCCTCCCTGAAAAACCCTTCTCAACAATAAATACGGTATGACCCAGTCATCTGATAGAATTTTTGTTTTTTATTTTCAAAACTGGTAATTGATAGAATGATAAGACTCCTATGTCGAAAAAACATACTGTACTGTACAAATGCCTTTCAACTAATTAAATTTTTACAGTTTTTTTTTTTTTTTTTATATAAGTATTGTATTTCATCACATTTTATTAAATTTGAATTGGAAAAAAATCTGAACTTTGACTTGCCTTCATTATTAAAGTAATTGATGTTTTATCATACTAATTGAATTTTTACAGTTTTTTTTAAATATATAAGTATTATATTTCATCACATTTATTAAATTTTAAATAAAATCTGAACTTTGACTTGCCTTCATTATTAAAGTAATTGATGTTTTATCATACTAATTGAATTTTTACAGTTTTTTTTTTATATATAAGTATTATATTTCATCACATTTTATTAAATTTGAAATGAAAAAAATCTGAACTTTGACTTGCCTTTATTATTAAAGTAATTGATGTTTTATCATATTTTTTTAATCACATTTTGTATCACATTTTATTAGATTTTGAAAAGGAAAGTAATTTCTATAACTTAGCATTCCTGTTTTGGTTTAAATTCATTAACACATGGTTTTGAATGTAAAATTTAATTTGGTTAATGTTGCATTTAATAAGGAATAGATCCAAGGTTGATTACATTTACTATTTATGTCTGGAAAATATTAATATTATTGACTTACTATACCGATGTACCGCCAACTGAATAACAAAAAAAAAAAAAAAAAATGAAAAAAAAAAAAAAATGAACTTTGAATTTTTCAATCTAAAAGAATCAACCAAGCTTCAATAAGTCACTTATGAGAAGAAAAAAAAGTTTTTCGTGAATTACAGGCTTTCTTATAATTAATATACTTGCTGGCAAAAATTTAGTGGTGCATGCAAAGACTATGTATTATTTTTAAGGTCTGAGAAGGGCATTTCTCTTTTCTTAGGGGTTCAAAGTTCTGGTTAATTGAACTTTCTTAACATATTTAATTTTATTTTGCTGCGCATGACGATACCCATTGCCACGGACCTCCATGAGACAAATGATAATAGAGTAGTGGAAAATGGGTTATTTTCTGGGAGATTATTGCTTGCTTGAGGGAATACGGTTTTAAAAGACAAAACACTGAAAAACAACAAAGCTGTGGGAAACAATGGCTGGATCTCGGTGTGTATATATATATATATACTGTATGTATATTGAAAGTATTGAAAATGTAGAACTTGTCTGTCTCTTATACACATCTCTTCTTCAACGACATCATTAACGATAGATGTTGTAGTTCCATCAGGAACAAGAACTTTCACTGTATCACCACCAAGAGAAAGGTTGGTACACGTTGTATTCAAAACATACTGATAATAAATATACTTTAAAAATATAACAAGGGGATTCATTCAGCAAAGCTTAGAATTTGAAATCCTTGATGCAAGTGTCATGAAGCCTGTGAAGTAGAGAGTAAATTATTTGGGGAGGGAATCCTTGATTCTCTATAACCTAGTGTCTCTTTAGGAAGCATGAGGGGATGGACAGCTGATCTTTTGGGACACTTGATGCTCTATCCAAGTGTCTTTTGAAGCATGGGGACTGGAGAACTTAGTCTTGTTAGGAAGCATGGACAATGGAGAACTGATCTTCTGGGACCCTTGACAATCTATAGTCTCTTTAGCAAGCATGGGGAATGAATGGAGAGCTAATCTTTTGAGACCCTGCTGCTCTATAACCAAATACCTTTAGGAAGCATGGGGAATTGAGACCAGATCTTCTGGGACCCTTGATGCTCTATAACCAAGTTTTTTTTAGGAAGCATGGGAAATGGAGATCTGATCTTCTGGTTAGGAAGCATGGAGAATAAAGAGCTAATCTTTTGGGACCCCTGCCGCTCTATAACCAAATACCTTTAGGAAGCATGGGGAATTGAGACCAGATCTTCTGGGACCCTTGATGCTCTATAACCAAGTTTTTTTTAGGAAGCATGGGAAATGGAGATCTGATCTTCTGGTTAGGAAGCATGGAGAATAAAGAGCTAATCTTTTGGGACCCCTGCCGCTCTATAACCAAATACCTTTAGGAAGCATGGGGAATTGAGACCAGATCTTCTGGGACCCTTGATGCTCTATAACCAAGTTTTTTTTAGGAAGCATGGGAAATGGAGATCTGATCTTCTGGTTAGGAAGCATGGAGAATAAAGAGCTAATCTTTTGGGACCCCTGCCGCTCTATAACTGAACTTTGACTTGCCTTTATTATTAAAGTAATTGATGTTTTATCATATTTTTTTAATCACATTTTTGTATCACATTTTATTAGATTTTGAAAAGGAGAGTAATTTCTATAATTTAGCATTCCTGTTTTAGTTAAAATTCATTAACACATGGTTTTGAATGTAAAATTTAATTTGGTTAATGTTGCATTTAATAAGGAATAGATCCAAGGTTGATTACATTTACTATTTATGTCTGGAAAATATTAATATTATTGCTTACTATAAAGATGTACCGCCAACTGAATAACAAAAAAAAAAAAAAAAAAAAAAAAAAAAAAAAAAAAAATAACTTTGAATTTCTCAATCTAAAAGAATCATCCAAGCTTCAATAAGTCACTTATGAGAAAAAAAAAAGTTTTTCGTGAATTACAAGCTTTCTTATTATTAAAATACTTGCTGGCAAAAATTTAGTGGTGCATGCAAAGACTATGTATTATTTTTAAGGTCTGAGAAGGGCATTTCTCTTTTCTTAGGGGTTCAAAGTTCTGGTTAATTGAACTTTCTTAACATATTTAATTTTATTTTGCTGCGCATGACGATACCCATTGCCACGGACCTCCATGAGACAAATGATAATAGAGTAGTGGAAAATGGGTTATTTTCTGGGAGATTATTGCTTGCTTGAGGGAATACGGTTTTAAAAGACAAAACACTGAAAAACAACAAAGCTGTGGGAAACAATGGCTGGATCTCGGTGTGTATATATATATATATACTGTATGTATATTGAAAGTATTGAAAATGTAGAACTTGTAGAACTGGGTATTATCACTCTACAGACTGTTTCATGCTAATGCAATCTTCAGGAGTGAGAGAATACAAGGGTTGTGCGAGTATATGAATGCTTCTTATACAAGACAGGTGAAAATGCAAATGAGTTAATTGTTTTTAAGTAGGTATTTGTTGCTGTGCCTGCATTTAGACAATAGCTCGGTTCTTTTGTTTAGTGTTGACTGTTTGTCTGAATATATTATGTGAATTTTTTCGGTTATGCACAGGTTGCAGCGTTTTGTTTTTGGGGAGTAAGCCGATGCTCTGTCGATGATAGACCATTTAATGTTGTAGGGTGTGTTGCTATCTTTTAATTTCCATACGTATTTGGAGGGTACGGTGCTGTTTCTGTGTTTGGGGGTGTTAAAAGTGTATTTGTGGTTTGTGTATCAGGTTTTGAACGGTGTGTCAGTGAGCCCGATGTAACATTTTCATCATCTGAGTAGACAGTGGCTTTGTAGATGATGGATGAGGTGAGGCAATTTCCAGAGAGTGGACATTCATCTTTTTTCCTGCAATTGCAGAGAGTTTTTGGCTGTTGTTGCTTAGCAACCAGAAGCTGTTTGTTGTGGGCTTTGATTATACTGCCCATGTTTCTTGAGCAGCTATAGCTGACTTTGACATTGTTCTTGTTAAAGAGCTTATGTAAAATGTTGCCACTCGGGAAGTGCTTTTTGACCAGGTTAAGGAATGATTTTCCGATGTTGGTTTTCACTCCTTTGCTGAATGGTGGGTTGTACCAGATTATTTGTCTGCTTCTATTTTTCTTTGAAGATTTTGAAGATATACTGTATATATATATATATATATAGTTCAAAGTTCAAAATTCAATTATATAAAAAAAAATTTGCACGGAAGGAGTCTATAATCAGTTCTGAAGGTGAACTACAGAACTTTAATATATAGCCAGCTAACAAACAGACACGTAAATAGTACCTTAAAGTTGGGTATTTGCTAAATGATATTGAAATAAATAATTAACTTAAAAAGAATAATTAGAATTGAATGATTGTGATCATTTGTTAATTGTTTTATTACAGTGCTGGTGCAGAATATCTTCAATCAGCAGGCAACAGAATGAATCGCAAACAACTTAGGCAATCATTGAAAAATATACGCGCATTGCATGAAGAATTCTGGGTAGGTACAATAATGTCAGTCATACACATTGATTTGACTGTCTAAAGCTTGGTTTCCATACAATCGCTAAATGCTATCGCCGACTGCTTTCGGTGATGCTGATTGGTCGGTCGAATTGGGAGGCCTTCTCGATTGCGTTGGGGACTGCTTTAGGCCGTACAACGATTGCACTGAAAACACTGTAGAGACAGTGTAGCGATTCTATAGAAACTAGGCTTTATATATTAAATTTCAGTATCCTATGATTTGTCTGTATTACATCTTTTTCTTTTTGTTAGTACAAGACCAATTAAGACCATTAGAATTGTCATATTCATCCTAGTTTTTTCTACTTCATTCATCCATTATCACCCATGGACTATTTCGTTTTTCTCACTCACTCTTATTCCGTACACATTTCCTAAATTATACTTCGATCACTTCTTTATTCTGTCATACCTTTCATTGTCATTCTGTTTACTCTTACCCTCACACTGTCCCTTCTTAAGTTCTTTCCTCCCTGCCCCCCCCCCCCACCATTTCTTTCTCACTTATTCAATCTCTTATCCATTCCATATTTTACCACCCACCCTTTTCTACATCATTCTCGTTCTTGCCTCAAATTGTCCCTCCTTCTTGTTCTTTTACTCACATACACCCATTTCCTCTCTTCCATTCTCACAAATTTCCATCTTTATTTTTTCCTCATTTTCTGTTTTTCCGATCTCTCTTCTTTTCCTATCTCCTTCCTTCACTTTTTTTGCTCCACCAAATTATGTTCAAAGTACTATTAATGTATTGTCCTACTGTAATAGTTATTACTTATGTTTCTCTCAGGTGATATCCCTTGAACAAGTTAGCAATATAACAGGTGCTTCCATGCATATAATTATAAATAAATAATTTATAGAACTTATACTTACTTTTAGAATGTTCAATCACCTCTTAAAAGACACTGCACATTCTTCCATCTGTCATTCTGCTTGTCACACAGATTTGTTCTCTCTGTGGTGTCGTTACAGTGAATATATAAAAAAATGTTAACATTTTAAAATAAGAATATGCAATTTTTTAAACATTTCTATCAATATTTTAATTTTGTTTGAATGTTTTGTTGTAGAATATACCAATGAATCATCCAGAAAGTATAGAAGTACCGGGATCTGCTGCCAAGAATCGTTATAGGACAATATTGCCAAACCCAGAGACAATGGTTTCCCTACCCCCAATTCCAGGTGATCCTCTATCTGACTACATCAATGCAAATTTTGTCAGGGTAAGATGGGTTTGTTATTCTTTGATTTTTATTAGGCTTCTCTGTTGAATATAAAAATGCTGGCTGTCTTTCTTAGACTAAGCATATTGTCAAATTTGGACTCAAGTGAAGCAGGTTGTTGTCCCTCTTCCATCAGACATGGAACACACATACAATTTGTTTGGTCAGATATGTCTGAAACAAGTGTTACATTCTATACCAAAGTCCGATCAAACATTGTCAAGACTGACAGATAAAAATATAATAGTGTATGGAGAGACCGGACATGGAACACATACAATAATGTTTGAACAGATATATCTGGAACAAGCATTACATTATATATCAAAGTCTGGTCAAACATTATTAAGTCTGACAGATAAAAGTATAGTGTATGGAAGACCAGGATACTTATATTTTTATCAAGTATCGAAATATATGAGATAATGAAAACAAAGACTGATGGGATGATATATATAGAGGTAGCCACTATCATGCATTATATATGAAAGTCTGATAAAACATTGTTGAGTCTGACAGATAAAAATATTGTATGTCTGACTTTACTTACTGTCACAGAGTATCTGTTAATCAAATTGATACTATGATGAATATGGAATGACCAGGATATTAAAGATAAGAAAATATCTTTTAATACCTTGGTCATTCCATCTTTCATATAATGTGATGTCTTTTATCCTGGTCATTTTCATTTTTATCAAATATAGAAGGATGCTTTGTTTAAGTATGAGCTAATTAAAACAGATACTATGGTGGGATGATCATGATATGGAGTGTTTTAATTGCCACTTAATCATAAAATACTTGATTTAATTATTTTCATTTCATGGAAACTGTAATTATTATTAGCACAGATTGAGATTGTAAATTTGTTGTTTTTCTCGCTGTTTTTAGGGTTATGAAGGCGAAGATAATGCGTTTATTGCCACGCAGGGCGCCATGACTCACACTATTGACGACTTCTGGAGACTCGTCTGGCATACAACTGCGCCAACAGTTGTCATGGTAACCAAAGTGAAGGAACGAGAAAGGGTAAATTGATTTTGAATGATTTTTAGCAATGAGATGCCTCGGAGGCATTTTTGAATATTTCAGAGAATTGGGTGCTGAGTAGTCCGTTGAGCTGTCGGAGATCATCAAGCCAGCAACATGTCTTCGTCATCAGAAAGCTTTTAAAATAAATCAGGATGAATGCTTCTAAATTGCAAGAGAAAACACACAAAGAAATGAACTTATGCTTTAAAAACAGGAACAAAATCAATATATAAAGAGACATATGCTCGTTTTTTACACAAGAAATATTTTTTAATCTTTATATAAATTTTACATGAACGTACATATGCTGATTTTTTTTTTTTTTTTATGTGTATGCATACTTGAATGTGTTTTTATGTGCATTTGTTTTTCTGTAAGGTAAGGTCAATGGCGTATCTAGAAGTCTTAAAATGTTGGGATTGATGGGTGGGGGCGAGCGAAGGTAAAGTGAGGGAGGCGCAATGATTAATTGAGGGATGCTAACTCGCAAAATGAGGTGATATGAGATGATTTTTTAACTACTTGAGCTTGATTTTTTTTGCTTAGAATATTTTCAAGTGGATGGAGGTGGGGGGGGGCGACTAGGGGGTGCAAGCATTTTTGTGGGAGTGTGTGTCCCCTGTGCATCCCAAGATACGGCAATACGGAGGTGGTATATATGTATAATCCTCAAATTTTCGGGATTTTAGCCTAGAACCTTGGAAAAAGAGTGCTTCAGATATTCGCTTACCATGTCAATTAATTGATTGATTTATTATGACAAGCTTTAGTAACCAACTGATAAATTCAAATTTTGCAATGAATTTTATTCATTGATTCAGTTAACAGAAACTTGACCATGCAATTTTTATATTGCTACAAATAAACCTTACTTTGCAATTCATTTTTTTTTTGTAAACCAGTTATCTACAAAACTTAATCATAAATTTATTTTTCACCCTACAGAGTAAATGTGAGAGATACTGGCCACAAAAGAGAGGTGTTTACGAAGGAATCGAAGTGACAGTTCAGGATACCATTCGAAAAGATGATTATATTCTGATAATTTTTCATTTGAAGGTGAGTTTAAATTTAATATTAATTTAAATTAAACATATAAACATTCTGACATCAAGAAATTAAATCTTTTTAACTTTTAAATTTGTTTAATAATAAACTTTTTGATATTAAATATTTATTATTTTTTAAACTTCAAACATTTTACATTAAACATTAATTATTACATCAAATTTTAATCAACCATTTAATTAGGGCAGTGGCTACCTGTATTGTTGTATACTAATTCGGATTGGATGTTTTTGTATGTATGGATTGGATTAGGACAATAACATCCAATTGGATTAGAACAATCTGAATTGAAATTTAATTAAAATACTGAATTTACATTGAAATACTGAATTTACATTTTTAATTTAAAACATTTAATATTAGAAACATAATTTAGAATTAAATGAGCCGAATTTACATTTTTAATTTAAAACATTTAATATTAGAAATTTAATTTAGAATTAAATGAGCCGCATTAAACTTTTTATTCTTCAATTATTGGAAGCACTTCTAGCAATATAGAACATAACATATTTCTTATGTCAGTTGCCTTATTAATTTCTGTTGAAAATAAAAACAAAATAAAATTAGGTCTACCTATTGCTGGATAGAATACAACTTCAGTGATAAACTGATGTATTTTTTGTTATCTATAAATTCCTACACTACGTACAATTCACAAACTCATAAAAACAAAGTAATAAATAATAACTAAAATAACATGTGGTTTAGAGGTTTTATACATGCAAATTAACCAGAAATGTTCAATTTAAAACCAATAATAATACTCTTTAAAATTACATAGTTGGATATATATAGACTTAATGATAAACTATGATGAGAAAACAATCCACAGATTTGAAAAAGATTGTTTGAACTGTGTGTCCTAGTTATTGCGTACTAAGGGAACGTGTGACGTGTTTACTAGAAGCGATGAGTGCAGGTTTAGTGAAGCTAAGCAAGCGTGACCTTTACTGACGTCATAAGTAGTAGTAACGCTCATCTGCTCTGGATGCACGCCACCCACGCACACATTCATGTCGTTCCTACTACATCTCAACATAAGTAGATGTTTTCATAGATAATAATAATATTGCATAAACTTTACACTGTTTGGAAGCCATTCAGATATGTGCGCTTTATAAATCTTATTGTTATTATTATTATTATTGTTGTTGTTATTGTTATTATTATTATTATTATTATTAAGAGTAGAAGGGTGTTATATCAAATGTAATATTTATGATATAACTCATTACATTTGTGTACATATTTCTTTATTTAATTTTAATAATAATAACAATAGTATTATTATTATTATTGTCATTATTTTTATTATAAATATTATTATTATTATTATTATTATTATTATTATAATTAATAATATTATCATTAAAGAGTAGGAGGGTGTCAAATAAATAATATCAAATTACATTTTTTTTTACATATTTCTTAATTTTATTTTGATTTCTTTTGTTTTTGTGTATAGGTCTCCCTACAATTAAAGACCACTTTTGGGGACTGGGGTTTCCATGGTTTTTTAGCAGTTTTTGTCTCTAATTAGAATGGAAAAGATAAAAGACATTGGTGAATTTGGGACCACAGAAAGATGGTCATTAATTGGAGTTGGTCTTTAATTTGAGTGGTCTTTAATTAGAGGGAGACCCATATTGAAGTATTGTTGATTATATTACTATCTTGAGCACTGATTTGGCAATGGTCATTTGGGTTGTAAATCACATTTATATTGATTATGTACTCAGTAGTAGTATTATGAATATTATATATTATTATAAGCACCTAGAGGGATTTGCAATCCATAAAGGTGCTTTATAAAAATACGGTTTTTTTTATTATTTATTATGATTATTCTTATGAGTATTGTTATGCTTATGAAATAAAATTATGAATATTATTATCATTAAGTATTATTATGGATATTTTTATGAGTATTATTATGAATAATAAGTATTATTATGAGTACTTAGTATTTTAATTTGGTATGGCAGAAATGTTCACCAGAAATGGTGAGACAGTCATAGAAGAAATGGGAAAGGCAGTGTTGCCATATAGATTTGGATTTATGCTTTGAGGGCTTGTTATACCGCTAAGTGGCTGGAAGACACGTGGCGATTCAAACCCATGTGCAAACAACAAAATCACATGATCCCAAGCCTGTAGCCAGGGGTTTCGAGGGGTTCGAAAAGAATCCCCCTTTCCCAGAAATGCTCTTTAAAATTATTATTAAAAATTTGTTGAAATTAACTACAAATATTTGAAATTTGGCATTTTTATTACCATTTCCGGACATCTGAAGTGTGTCTTTACAATTTACAAAAGCCATGGTGGGGCTAAGTTGGGTTTTGTGGAAAATTAGGACACCACTTTAAAAATTATGCCTACGGGCTTGGCTCCGCTGTAATTATCTGATTGTCATAATGTAATGACATCACAACGATTTTTTATTCCCAAATTTTGCCCACAAATAATAATTCAAAAGCCCCAGCTACTTAGATTTAATAGCAGAAACTTCAGTGTCGAAACATTAAGAAATATCGGCCATTTTCAAGACACCTGCCTCAATTTATACATAACCAAATTAAATAATAGCGTTCAAATTCAATTTGTACGTGCTGCGCACATTCGCCGCAGAGGGTGCCGTTTCATTAATGTTGCGTAAATAACGTTTATACTTTTTTTCCCCCGCAGTACATGAATGAAGTACGGACTTTAATGCATTATCGGTATACAAGCTGGCCAGACAACAAGGCGCCTGACAATCCAATAACGTTATTAAAGATGATAAGAGAGGTTGAGATGAGTCGAAATGACCCGAGTTTACCGAAAGGACCGGTTATTGTCCATTGCAGGTATTGTATATTATCTCCTTATTTTATCTAAATGGTTGACCAGTCGTTAAACTTGGCAATGTCATTGTCGAAGAATTGGACACTCAGTTTAAAATATGCATAATAGAAGGAACTATTGGTATCGCATTATTGCTGAATCGGTCTATATTAAACTTATGATATTATTTTTAAAAACTTAGTGTAATCACTTAGCTGCCACTATAAAACTACAGTAACTTCCACATGTTAATAATTTAAATTTTTTTCTTGTTTAGTATTATTATTATTATTGAATTTTCTTTTATAACAAATAAATCCACAACTTCAAGCATCCTCGTAAAGACATTTTGTTATTAATCGTTAAATTGTCAGGTCTGTTCCGTAAGCCCCATAAAGAGATTTGGTTGTAGAGCTTCAATGGCTCAAATGGTTAGCTCTCTACTTCAACAGCTCATAAAGACTTTTATAGAGCTTCAAGGGTGCCTATAAGATGATCTCTCCACTTGCCATACCTCATAAAAGATTTGGTTGTAGTGCCTCAAGGGTCTCAAATGATGAGTTCTCCACTTCCCAGCCCTCATAAAAAGACTTGGTTGTAGAGTGTCAAGGGTCGCAAATGATCAGCTCTCCTCTCCTCGGGCCTCATAAAGAGATTTGCTTGTAGAGCGAAATGGGCGTCAAATAATCAGCTCTCCACTCGACAGTCCTCATAAAGAGATTTGGTTGCACTGTAGAGTGTCAGGGACCTCAAATGAACCGTTCTACACTCCTTAGGCCTTAAATTCCTAAATGTTGTCATGATGACATCACATCATGACCATATATAGGAACATCATGACTATATATGGGCATAAAAGTTTTTTTGTCAAAAGAAAATATGATAGTCTGCACAGCTTAATATTGTTTTTTTTTTCTCACTTTTAGTGCTGGTCTTGGTAGGACAGGCTGCTACATTGCCATCAGTATAGGAATGAAACAGTTACAGGAAGAACAGATGGTCGATGTACTTGGAATTGTGTGTCAAATGAGGCAGGATAGGTAAGTTTCTACAGGGATAGGGAATTGGGAATCCGTACTTTAAATACAATTAAACTTGCCTAGGTCAATTTTGACTAACTCAAATAATTTCTAAGTCGATCTTATTTTACATGCCAAATTGTTGTGTTTTCCATTAATTAACGATCCGCAAGTCGATATTTATGTAAGTCGAACAATTTTTCAATGCATTTTGGATTCGACTGTATTGAAGTTCAACTGCATTGAAGAGGAAGATAAGATGGGAATGATGATAATAATAATAATAATAATAATAATAAAAATAAAGATTTATAATGCGCACATCTCCACCAATGGTGCTCAAGGCGCAGATGATGAGATGATGGTGATGATGATGAAAACAAGAGAAGATGTCTACAACAACGACGACTGTGATGGTGATGAAGACGGAAGATGACTACGACAATGAGGACGAGGGAAGATGACCAGGACAGCGGCGGCGCCAGAAATTTGCCGACAAGGGGTCTGACATTTCCGACAGAGGGGTCTGAGCCAAGTGGCCGACGAAACCTTGGTTGACAGCCCGGAATAAAAGCCTCGTAGGCTTCACAGGGAGAGTTTTTATGGCTTAATATGGTACAAAATTTGCTTTAAGGCCACAATATTAGGGATTGGCAGTCAAAATAACTTTATTTGGATAGGCAAATTATTATTTTTTTTAATTTTTGATGCGACGACCTAGTTGTGCGTTGGCTGAAAGGGAGACCAGGCCTGTCCGGCTGGAAGGTGGGGGGGGGGAAATGCGTCCCTGCCCCGCTGGCGTCACCACTGAACAACGATGATGATGGTGATTGTGATGATAAAGATGAGAGAACAGTACAAAAACAATGAAGACGAGATAAGACGATTATGATAACAACGATTAACAACGATGAGTATGATGATGATCGTGATAATGATGTGTATGTTGTTGATGATTAATTAAATAAATTTATGACTTATGGGGTCATGATGTTGATTGATGATGATGTTGATGAAGAGGAAAAGGATTAAACGAATGATTGTGAGGATATTATTGATGGGCATGAATATTATGTCTCATGGTGAAGTAATAATAATAATTAATTAGATTAGGTTTATAAAATACAAACTTCAGTTACTGTATTATTTTTCTGTTTTTAGGGGAGGAATGATTCAGACCAACGAACAATATGAATTTGTCCACCAGGCGTTGTGTTTGTACGAGAAGAGTTTACCTGCGCTACCAGAATGATTAGAATCTTGAATGATTCCTCCTAAATCTCTTACTGCAATGAAAAAAAAAACCCTTTCAGGAAGCAATGATTGATATTTAATGCATTATAATGTTTATTTACATATTTACCTCAATTTTTGCAGCCAGACCTTTTCAACAATCCAAACATTATTTGGAAGAAAAATTAGTAATTTTTGAAGAGCAATTTTTAACCGTGGTTTCATGGTTTAGAATTTGAGTGAATTCATAACAGTGATTAAGACAGATAATTTCATTTTACTCGTATTCTGTCATCGTATTTGCTGAGGATCATTCGTGATGAATTGTGACAAAATTTCTGGTTTTGAGGCAGCATAAGTACTTTGTAGGCAGCTGGGAGATTGTGTTGCGCTTCATTTGTTTTGTGTATTTTTTAAAAGAGGATCACAACAATCAACTGTAATATTACTGTACCGGAACAAAAGGTATGAGTTCAAACTCGAAGCCGTTACAATGATCGTTGTTAACAAGAAACCTGAGCGCTGTGGACAATATGAGATGAGATTGCACCAACAAATGTGATTCAGATTGAAATATCAACCTGCAAAAAAAAACACAAAAAAAAAAAAACTGAAATATATAAAACCAGACAAGCAAAAGTTAGTGATATTCACAACTGATGTTCAGGGGGAGTAGAGAAAGTCGCTGGAAGAGTCCATACTCCAAGTTATCTGTATGCCACAAAGTCTGTTTGGGTAGAATTAAGAAAAGCGCCTCAAAGTCGATGTATACCTCCATGTTATGCGTTTATTTAAACTCTTATTCTTTCTATTTATCTAATACATCATTCTCAAAAAATTGAATATATATATATTATATATAAATCATTATCTGTTACAATGTTTTAGTTTAATATGTATTCCTTATTCTTTAATTATATGGTTATTTTTATTATTTTATTTCATCACCTGTGTCATATCACGCAACGTGATCATTCCACTAGCAATCATGAATACCAATAGAATACCAGATCAACTATTGGCATGGAATACAGAGAATCAAGTAGCTGAATCCGTGTTGTGATTTAACTGTACTTTTAGAATGTTACTACTTTACTTTTGTTTTTGTTTCTAATTGAGAAAATAGGTTGATGATTGAAGTTTTATGTGCAATAATAATAATATACAAAGGAAATCAAACGGCTCTCATTCCGTATAACACTGATATATTCCAAGTAGTTGCGTGATATTTATTGTGACTGGCTCTGGTAAAACCTGCTATTTTTCTAATTTCCCACAAGCACCCAAAATGTTTGAGAATCAGAATTTTGAACATTTTCATGTTTTTATAAAAGAAGATATTATTAAAGAACATTTCTGCAAAATATCAATCACTAAATCTAACTGAAAAGTATATTAAAATTATTTTTAAATCTTAAAAACATTTGATAATAAACTAATAATCTTAATCTTAATAATAAACTATTGATTTTGGAATCAGTGGAAGCTGTTTTCTCAAAACCTACATGGCTGATATCAAATGAATTAAATATTCATAATATCACTAATACTCAAACCAATTAAATCATTAAATAAACACTTTTTTAAAGAAGAAATTCATGCTCAAACTCAATTTTTCTCACAAACAGCTAGTTTTGCCAGGGCCGGTCACATTTTTCTTTTCTGTCTTCAGGACGAAAAGAGTGGTTACCCTTCAGTTTTGAAAGAATATACAAGGGGATACAGAATATACTAGGGGATCGAATTCATCACTAGTCACCAAGCGCAAGCTCGGTGGTCTAGTGGTTAAGACATCAGGCTAGATACCTGGAGGTCGTGGGTTCGATTCCCACCCGATTTTTTTCGCTAGTATTTGGGGACATACAGTACTGAGTATTCAGTACGATTACACGTCAGGTAGGGCAAAACATCACTCCTATGATAATTTCCTGACGCAAACTCATATCTTAATAACACTTGCAGTACCCGCTGCTACTAGGGGATCGAATTCATCACTAGTCACCAAGCGCAAGCTCGGTGGTCTAGTGGTTAAGACATCAGGCTAGATACCTGGAGGTCGTGGGTTCGATTCCCACCCGAATTACTTGCGATTTTTTTTTTTTTCGCTAGTATTTGGGGACGTACTGAGTATTCAGTACGATTACACGTCAGGTAGGGCAAAACATCACTCCTATGATAATTTCCTGACGCAAACTCATATCCTAATAATAATATACAATATAATTAGGACAATATAAGACTAAAGAACTGACTTCTGTATTCCTTGCTCTTGTTTAAAAACATGAATTTCTTGTATAAACATCATTAGCGCTCTTCCTTTGTAATTAGCGGGAATGTGTTGGTGTAGTGGTTGTGATTCTGATTCGGTCTCTCAGGTCAAGGTTCAACTGACTTGCCGACAAAGTGGTTATGGCCTATGGTCGATGCACTTTGTCTACATTGTCTGAATTATTACTAATGTATGTGATGCAGTAGGTTTGAATAATTTGCTGCCATTTACAGGTGATTAGCGTAGCAGTAACATTTTGAAATGAATATATTTCCCAATATTATTTAAACTAACAACCGGGGTAATAATACAAAAGCGCCTAGAGACCGCCACAAAATATGCTTTTATAAGACCGACATTTAAATTGTAACGTGATGATATTAGACACTGCAGGTACGTCATTGTGAATTTGAATTTATTATTGCATACAGCTCTTAATTTGGATATTAGTTCTACAAAAATTTCATCAAAAGTGAAATATTATATTGCAAAATTATATTAATTTTGACTTTACTGAGAAATTTATCATAAAATGATGATGACAACCAGTATTAGACCTTCCAAATTTCAGAACGTGGTGATGCTTGTACATTTTAGATTTATTGATATTGTCGTTGAAGGGACACGGATTAATAAGAGGATTTATCGAAAGAGAAATTTGTTAAGGAAACTGTAAATTCACTGTAAATATTTTCAACTTCAAATATATTGCTATAAAGTATAATATAAAGGTACCGATGTTTGTTTGAAAAAAGTCTTTCAAATTCTTTAGTTAATTAGTCTCCCTCCCTCTGAAATGTATCCCCTTACTTTCATTTAACTTCCACCCTATGTTATACACAAAGAAAGATAAAAATACACTATTTTTGTTGTTGGACCAAATGTAAAATATATATGTTGATAATTTATGCATGTAAAATTTACCCAAAAAATATTGTGCAGAATTTTTTTTTTTTTTTTTATTTGCCAGAAGGTATAAAGTGATATTTGAGTCGCAATTCCATTTAGAGCAATTGTGTATTGTACTGTGTTTTAATGAAGTAAAATGTGACCAGAAAAAAAATTCTGCTTACTCCATCATCTACAAATTTGCTTGCAGATGATTGAGTGATGAAAAATATATGTATGAATATTTAAAGATAATTTGAAAAAAATGAATAATTTTAAGAATATGTCAGTTTATTAAGATTCTGGATCAGTTCAATTTATGCTGCATTAACATTTTGCTATGTTAGTCATAGTAATAGTTAGGACGACAGATTTTCTGTGTAAAAAATATTTTGCATGAAATGTTTTAAATGTATAATTAGTATAAGCAGGCATAAGCACACACTAAATGTCATGAAAATACATCAGTGTCGGCGAAACAGCTCAAAAGGTCAAAACATTACCAAGATGATCTTTCATTCCAAATTAAATGTCAGGTTATTATGTTAATTTATTCATGTGATTTAATCATGTGATCAGTCAGGGGACCAATGCAATCACATGACCAATGTTTTTCAGTGAATTAGTAGAAGAAACTATAGTATATAATTTGAAATGTATCGTTAGATTAATTGTCAATGGTGAAAATTGACTGATCAATCATCAATGATTAAAGAGGAAGAATTTAGAAATAATGACAACAAAATAATACTATAGTTCTTTATGTATAAGCCCTCCTTGGTTATTACTAAGCCCACACTCTACTTAACAACCAAGTTCATGTACCAGCAATTCCCCTGGCAAAAGCCAAGGGTATAGTTTGCTAAGCTTGCTTTCAGTTGAAAAAATCAATTGGCTTTGAATTTGGCATGGCACACTGAAAATTTGCATTTTAATTGGCCAGTACAATTTTTTTCATGTACAGAGTATCTCCCATGTGTAAGCCCACTGCCTGAATCAGCCCATTTCATGTTCAAGGTGGGTGGGCCTATACCAGATGAACTATGGTATAAATATTATTTTGCGACCTAAACAGCAATTTTGTTGCAAAAGACAAATGAGCTTCTTTTAACATGTTGCAATTGACACATTCGTAAAGTTGCAGACTTCCAATCAAAAGTTGGGGTTCGAGTCTTGGGCAGACATTTATTTGCGTTTTTGTGCAAGGTAATTTGTCCACCTTGTCTCTCCCCACACAGGAATACATGTGGGTTCCTGGTAGGCTCAACTATAAATGTGCTGAATACTTGCAGAGACATTATGGATTGGTCCCCTAAGGAGTGGTTTTTATGTGTGATTACTGGGGGTAATAATATAAAGCGAATCGATGCCTTGGTATTTACCTACATGCTTGAATAAACGCCCCTCTTGAATAAGCACCGCTTTAAACCTGATTTTTTTCGCTATAAGTGCCGCTTTTGAATAAGTGCCACAGTGCTTTATGAGAGTGTATACTACCTTGTGTGCAATGAAACACTTTGAGAAACTGGGTTTTAAATACAATGAATACAGTGTTAAAATGAATAAATAACATAATGAAGACGCACGCATTTCTTTAAAAACGTTTTACGGTGATGTAAGACCAATGATAGGCCTACTGAACCACGGGAATATGCGAGATAGATAACATAAGAACAGGTGCTGTTCTCAACTAAGCGCTGCCGAAGCCTCCAAAAATTTTATAAGCGCTACGGCGCTTATTCGAACATTTACGGCAATACACTTTACATTACAAGACCGATATGTTATTATAAACATCTTTATCTATTAATGAATGGAAATGTATGGTGATCGAAAAGGCAGGTTAAACTAGCACTTTTTGTTTGTAAGATTATCTGAATAGAAGTTGAACCATACATTAATTATGTTTGTTGATATTGTTGTCAATTGTTATTTATCATCATGATCATTATGATAACGATGCAATTGTTTTTCAACAGTGAGATACTAAATGTGAAATGACATGACTACAAAATATGTAAGAAAAACTTTGGTTGTGCCAAATTAGTGTGTTTAATGGAATGAATGTATACATTATCAGATATTTTTGTCTGTCAGACTTAATAGGAAATGTTTGATCAGATTCTAAGGTAGGACAATTAGTTTGTCCAGATAATGTCTGATACAAACATGCACTCTCAAAGCTTGGAACTAAACATAGGACCATGGTCTGACAAAGTTTAATCAAACATGTGTCTGAAAAGACAAAAATCTGATTGTGTTTGCCCACTTATAATTCCATACTTGTGTTAAATCAAAACAGGATTGCGATTTTGTTATCAGTTCGTATTGTTATTTTCCAGTATTTTTCTGGAGAATTAATAAGTTAAACTATAGAAGGAGTATAGTGTTCTTCAGGATTTATTTTTATATTCACAAAATAGCTTTCTTTGTTTGTGATCCAAGTTATGAAGTCACTTCCAGAATTATTAATAATCTATATAATTTTTAGCATAAAATATTAACATAAGGACATGATAGCTGCCATCTCATTACTGGCTCATTTAAAATTTACCTGTTCCGTTAAAATATATACATAGTTATTGGTCAGGGTTTTTTTTAGTGAGAGATTAGGACAAAATCCAGGGGTAAGGGATCTTGCATCAAGAGTGTGGGGAGGGGAAGGGGGGGGGGGGTAGGACATTATCTTAGATGCCATTTAATTAGTGGCTAACCAAAAATGTTTCATTAACATTCAAAATGCATACTCGTATATTTTAGTTTTTTATTTTATCATTGTGGTTGGCCCCTTTTCTCTTAGAGGGAGATACAATCAACATCCTGAACGGTGATGGTATGAAAACGTAAGAGGGTGCCTAGAGCCTTAGCCAGGGCCCCCAATAAAATCTCTGGTAGGGTACATGGGGAGAGATTTTATTGCCTAGGATAGTGCAAAAATGTGTACTTTTAGACCGCAATATTAGAGATTGGCCATCACAATTAACTTAGTTTGGACCAGTCCCTAAGTATTTTATTTAATGCTTTCAGTTGGATCTGCATCAGTATCCATGGTTATGTAAACATATTCACAAATATTAAAACATGTTTCTAAAATATGCTTGCTAGTGAGGTATATCATTATTTGGGGGAAAAAAATTTCAAAAAATAAACATCCTTTTTTTGTTGTCCACTTAATATTAGAGAAATTAAGCAGAAACAGTCCTGAAAAAATGACAATCATGTATGAATATTCATAATATATGCAAGTTATCTCATTTGCATATCATGGTTTGACTGGCGGGTTCTGAGGATAAATATTAATATTTAAGGTTCTGATCGTTGCAGATGATGTAAGCTGATATTGTCCAATATGATGTTTCTTTCATGCGAATTTGTTTAAGTTATTGATTGTGTTATATTGTTTCGTCGAAACAGCATAGCTTCAAATGGTAGACACTGCATTTAAACATGCTTGGAGACTTATTATTTTAGACCAAATAGGACTGAATATTCAGATATGCAAGGCAACCCTTATTATATGCTTTTTGTTGTCTTAATACAGTATACCCAAATAATGTATGGATTTGTGAGTAGATGATATTAAAGCAATGTATGTAGTCTATTATCTGTGTGAGGTTTGTTATTACATTGAGAAAACTATTAAGGATATCATTTAATTCACCACCTAATATTGTAATCATTATCATCATTATAGTATCATTATTATCACACTCCAAGCCAAAATGACTCAATACAATAAAACTAGCTTTCTTTTTTTCTCAATATTTTTTTTTTAAGAGTCCAAAATACAAATTTGATAACCTGAATTTTAGCCCTGTCATTACCATTTTAGGCAAGACTATTTTTATACCTTGTTTAGCCAACCCATTTGCCTGCCAACAATGATGATTTTGAATACAAATAATTTGGCCAGATAGCACACCCACTGCCACAAAAAAATAAATTCTTTATTTATAAGTTTGCTAAACAAGGTGCTACTAAAAAAAGTCTGGCCTTAATAATGAAAATGCATGGAGAGTGTAATGGTTGGCCAATCATTGGTGATTCAAGGGGGGTTGGGGCCCCGAGCCATCCCAGGTCCCCCTAAATCTTTCAAAATTATGAAAAAGAGAAACAGGAAAATTATAATCAAATTTGCATTTGCATCCATCTAGAGGTGCCATAATCATAGCTTTTCTTACCTCGGTCCCAACCATGGTGGGGCTGAGGTTGTGGTCTACACCCTCTATCTGTGAAACTCTCCCCCACTCAACCTCCCTGACCCCTCTATTTCAAATTTCTGGATCCGCCACTGCCAATAGTTTTAAAAAAATGTATATTTTTACCACGATAATTAATAATTTATCATTCTCATTAATTCATCGCCTTCAGTGCGGAAGCACTATAATACCATCTTCATTTTTTATCAGCAATTATTTCTAATTTCACTCGTACAGTATATTATTGTAAAAAGCCCAAAAGGTACTTACCGGTATCGGTATTAGTTTCCCGCGTAGGGCTGAATACAATAGTATTACTCGTCTGTGTGTGTATAGCATGAGCTCTCGACTTGAAGTGCCGTCCTTTCTCCCAGGGATTACCCGAGTCGGCCGTTCAGTGCGCATGCCCGTAGATACGCCGGTTTGCACAGGTGAGCTAACCCAGGTAATCTGGAGTCATTGCAGGGTGACCTCCAGGGGGTCGTCACTACATTCCCCCATTGTTTGAAGAAGGACGCCATGCTGCATGGGAAAAGACCCTACCCACCGACATTCAAACTCTAAATGTTCTCAGTGGGCCCTGAGCCTGGATTTGCTCAGGAGGTTTCAGACCCATAACAATGTGCAGGAAAAGAACAGAAATTAAGGAAACATAAAATAAAACACAAAGTATTCCCTAAACAAACTTAAAGTCTTCTGGGGTGGCACTGAGCTCTTAGGCTCAGAAGAGATCTAGGCCGTTTTTCCGGGTGAGCTCTAAGACTCGCCTGGCTTCCCAGCCTAGAACTCGGGCCACCGATTTTGCTGTCTCCCACAGCAGATGAGGAGCACCCACTCGCTGGCCTGAGGGGGGAAAATAGGGCCCATCAGACTCGATGAGGATTCTTCGGTCATTGACCCCTGCGAGATGTTTACAGGCTGCTCGTTGTACCATGGTGAACCTACCAGCTTCTATGGTGAAACTGAAGTAAGTTCCCGGGTACTGGTGCAAGAACTTATCCACCACCTTTGATGAAGAGGAAAACGCATGCAAGATCAACTTCTGATCTCGGGGGATATGCGTGAGACGCAGGAGGTAAAGTGCCCTGAAGTAGCATTCTTCTGCCACCTCGTCCCCGTGCATCCCCCTCACATGGAGGCAGATAAGGCAATGTCGAGAGAAGGAATAACACTGCTTGAGAACTCGCTCAAGCAACTCATCCTGCCGAACCCAGTCGGTGTTGGGTAAGGTGTGGTCGAGCCCAATCTCACCGAGCACTCTGACATGAGATGAGCTTGTCAGAGTGACCAGCCTGCTTAACTGGGCGGGAGAGAGTTCCTTCTTAGGGTGAATTCCAACGCCTACCTCGAATCCCCTGTTTCTTTTACACATCTAGATGTGTATAAGAGACAGATATTTTTGCCAATGAGGCAACCTTTTTTTAAGTATTTGTATAAGTCAGCTGAGCTAATTATTCAAATCATTCCCTGAGCTTTTGCCAGGAGCTGCTGGTACCTGAATTTTAGGCTTAATTAAAGTTGGGGGGGGGGGGGTGGCCTTATTTATACCCAAGAGACTATGGTGGAATAAAATGCAAGACGACCTTAATTAATAAGAAAACAAATAATAACTGTATCCATGGATAACTTGATCAGTTGCTATAGTAACAAAAAATAACTAAAGTTGCTATCGAAACATACTCGTCTTGTATTTGGTTGTTGGGAAATTGTCCTGACTCTTGAGACGGCGTACAGCTTCTCGTATATGCTTAGCTTGAAGGGGCCCTGATTCACCCCACTCCTCTAGAGCATCTAAACCTGAAGGAAGGGATAAGAAGACAATTCATGTAACTTAAAAAATTCAGTGCAATAATGATATTACTATTATAATCATCATCATCAGTATTAATATTATTAGCCTACCCAAAGGAGGGAAGCTCCCGGGGGAGGCTCCGGTTTTCCCCGGTTCATCTTCACAGGAAAATATAGATTCATCTTTTTAGTCTCAGCAAATGCAAAGACATGATGTTCACGTGGATTCTAGGATACAGTTTGGCCAAATCTACGTATGCAGAGAATGTAGGACGGTCATGCATGAGTGATTCCGTTCTTGGCTCTTTTTGAGGTTACTTTTACAAACCAACAAGGGAGCTTCAATTCGAGATAGGCTCCTTCTCGAGGTTTTACAGTATATAATAATAATAATAATAATAATAATAATAATAATAATAATAATAAGTAAGAAATATAATATATCAACAAACCTTGCTCCACTATTTCACCAACATAAACTTTGGCAATGCCTGCCATTGCTATGACAACATTCTGTGACACTGTTCCACCAGTAATAGACTGCATTATCTGGAATAAACATTCAAACAGTATAATTAAAATATAATTTTTGTAAGTCATTCAAAAATGACTTCAGACACTACCAAAATAAATTAAAATGATTATACAATTATTATTTCAAATCTGACATCTTTTAATAATCTAATTTTTTTTTATTACAACAAACTTCTTGGATCAATCATATACAGACATTATTAGATTAACTTAAATGATAATTATATGAATGAAAATGTGTTAATATTAAATTGAAGAATGGTGATCATACCCTTTTTACTGCTGCCCTTGGAAAAGCTGCCCTGCGGAACATCTCGTAACGGTTTAACTGCTCTTCAGAAAAAGCTTCAACTAAAACTCTGGAAAAATTTAATAAAATCAGGCAATAATTAATTATATACATTCCATCCTTACCTTACTTTACTTATAATATTAGATAAATTTTGAGTTACAGTCAGTAAAATATTACTTTGAAAAGTAATAGAGTCCTCAAGTCTTATTCTAGTATTATGTCTCTCTCTATGAAGTGTAATTTTCAGATCAGCTTTAGATAGGTATTATCAAAATTAAAGTAAGTTAAAAATAAAATGTTCTCAACTAATATGAAATACTCTTTAATCATGGAGGTATAACTTGAGCACACGTTGCACACTAGCACTGCAGCAAAACACATTGATTGGACGAAAGTGCTGAAGTTACCAGCGATGTCCAATTAGCGATTCTGAGATTCTCTCCCTAGCTAAAATAGAGCAGTAAAGGTATACATAAAATAAGCCTATGCTGGTCCTACTTACTGCATTTTTTCTCTTTCTTCTTGGGCCTGATCCTCCTTACTTTTCTGCGACTCCTCATCAGCAACACTTCCTAACCTTTCCAATTTAGCTAGGCCTAACTCTTTAACACCTCCACTTTTATCGGCATCGTCTCCTTGAGATCCACGTCCTGCTAGGCCTTTAATGGGCGAGCTCGTTTCACCATCACCAGACGCTTCTTCGGCGGATTTGACAACTTCGTGGTCCTTGGCTTTTGATCTTCCCGGGCTAGCTTTCTTGTTGTCCCCACTGGGTTTAGGCCTAGGGCTCTCTGACTTGGGTTCATCATCAGGAGACGATATTGAATCATGTTTTCTCTTTATTCCTCTTTCGTTTACCCGCCAGTCCTCCATATTCACCCTTTTCTATAGGTATTATGTACTATTTTTCAAATATTTTTATATGGTTTGATGATTGAGAAACATCACTTACCCCTTTTTTTCTCCTTTCTCTTATTTTGTTTTGACACCCGCCCTCACATGTCAAGTTTTTTTCCGTTTAACCTGTAGAGGGCGTTTCATGACCTGTAACCTTTTTAACGCATGCATGTTTTAGGCCTAGCCTAAAAGTTTTCCTACTTTTTGTACAAAAAGTCAAATTGATATGAGTTTACCAGCTTTTATAAGTCTCCCTGTTAATGAGCAGGTAAGTGTTAAATATTATCCAAATATACAACTAAAGCAGATATGCCTACCTATCCTTCTTGGTGTTGTTGCATTCCATATGTTTTCACCCGGTCCCGGGGCGCCGAGAGCGGTAGCCTACCCCGAGAGCCGGGTGATCATGTGTTGATGTAGGGCAGGCTAGGCCTAGCTAATAATTTCACTGTTCCCTGGTTATGCTACGTTTCTTACTACGACTCGAGTATTAAGGGAACACATCATTACCAAAATTCATAATATCTATATCATGTTTTTTAAAGTTGATGGAATTGAAAATAATTTTTTGATAAATTATTTAAGATCCTTAGTTTTTAGGGCACATAGAAAAAATTATTAGATTATCAATCATCTTTTTAAAAAAAATGATATAGGCGGTCGTTTTTTTGGTTTTTTTTAATTGGAGCTATAGAATATTACTTTTTTTTTTATAGATGAGGGAGGGACTGTTTTTATTTAGCAAGAATATTGTATAATTTATAAACACTGGTTAAATTTTATTGTTTTTTTTTAAAGAAAATGTATTTTCAGTCACAAAATTGCATTTTTTTTTTTATGCTGTGCACTGAATGACGTCACGCATGTGTCGGTCATTTCTATTGGCTAATCATGACGTAATATCATTTACCGTACCTTTAGCAATCAGAAGTTCCGATACGGTACCGTATCTCTAGCCACGGCGTTGAAATAAATGATGCGGGAAAAAAAAAATTTTTTTCATTCCCGCATCAATATTTCCCAAATTTTTGACGCAGACATGAGTGATAATGCAACATCTTTTTTAGCATTTTAAAAGTTTTTTAGCATTGTTTTTACCTTCCTTAACATAAATGCTAATTGGTCCAGCAAATCTTGCTTTTTAAATGATCTTGTCTGTTTAACCCTTTCACTGCGTGTACCCGGTAATACCGGGTATAAACACATATTGTTGAATTGCGCGTACCCGGTACTACCGGGTATGTAGAAAAAATATTGTTAAAAATCAGGAAGAGGTTCTGCGCCCTCTATAGTTTTTTTTATGAACTATAATTAACCTTTTATCGGAAAAAAGTGTTTTCGAGTGGTTAGGCGCAAAATGGCGGGTGCATGGCCTCAAAACAGACGGTACAATGTCGACGAAGCTATGGACCAGATCTTTGCAGATACGGATAGTGAAGATAACTTTGAACTGGATGATTCTTGCATTTCTTTTCCCCCAGTCGACTATGATAGTGACGACAGTGATTCTAAGGACGAAAACAATGATTCTCTCAACTTGGGAGGCCTTGCACAGGGTCAAGGTGGCAATGCCTTGTCCGCAGATTTCCTTTCCACATTTCACACAATAGAACAGGCTAATTTTTATAGTTCTAAAATGAAGTAACCGTATGATGTTTGCAACGATGCATTTATATTTACTACCTGGATTATATAAAGCACAAATAAAAACATATGGCAAAAAGTGATTTTCTGCAAAATTTTATATTTTCACAATTTTGAAGAAAAACTTTGATTATTTGCGGTTTTGGAATAAAACGATCAAACTAACTCATTTTTTTTTGTTTTTATCCACCTTGTGTGTCTGCATCATTATAAATTAAAAAAAAAAACATTCCATAAAAATTTCATTGGGAAAAATTGGGTTTTTTATCAAAATTTGAGAAAAAACAGAAATTCAAAATGGCGACTTTGATTTCACATGACAACCTAATTATGCAAAATACCAAATATCAATATTCCTCGCGTAGGCCAACCTATTGCTCGCCCCAACACACAAAAAGAATTTCGAAATAACCTCTTTTAGTATTTTTTTTGAATTATTTTAAAAATTAACTTTTTTCGTTAAAAAAAGTCCCAGCACAGGGGGTGCATATACCTACAGCAGTGAAAGGGTTAATGTTTGTAATTATTTTGTATTGAATGCACCACAGAGCTGTGATTAGGTGCCACTGTTACAAAAGTGCAGCTTCAATAAAAAATTAAAATTATTAATCTAACAATTATTTTGATGTGCTCTTATGAGATTTTTTTTTTGCTTTATTGAAACTAAATTCCAAAAAGTAAAGAATAGGAAGAGAACAAAATCCTAAAAAGCCATGGAAGTTGCCATCGTCGCCATGGAAGTGTGCCCACTCGCTACAATATTTTTACTACAAAAAAATATGCACATGCCTACAAGACATTATATCAAACAATAATTATTGAGTAGACAATTAATGATAATGGATACAATATTATTATTTTTCAGTTGAGTGAATTATGTGTATATTTAAATACTAAAGGTGCTAAACTTGATGAAGAGGTCTCACCAACAAATACACCGGAGCAGCTTGTAAACGTTATCCAAGAGATTGATAAAATATGGAAAGAGTCTGATGACAATGGTACAGTAATGTTATTCTGGGGGTGTATGACTGCTTCGGCAGCTAACAAGTTTGGGCCGCGATGTATGAATTTGGATTTTGTATTTTGTATGTTTTCAGTGAATTTGATTCACTGAAGGACTATTGAATATTCTAACAATTATAATTTTAATATAATAAATATTTTTAAAAGTGATAAATAGACTGGGAAAGGATAAACAAAATGTTTATATTAATATGTCAATTTGCAAATTCTGTTTGTAAATTTTATGTATATTAATAATTAGACAAACAAAAATTGCTTAATTTCCCAAATTTCTTGATGTTAAATATGTCGCGTCCAAATTCATTCTGGGAACAGCAGTTTTTCTGTTTACTATTAAAAAAATCTCATTAGAATCGGCAGAAATCTTTCCAACTGTTTAAACTGCTTCCCCTTTAATGATAAAATGTTGTTACATAGGTGTTAGTATAATTTAAATAAGTTTTTTCATTATAGGTTTAGGCATTTTTAAGCAAGGCAAATTGCATTTCTGTTGACAAGATGTTGCAAATCAATGTACAATTAAATGCAATTTGGAAAAGCTAATTGATTGATTTCATAACTAAGAAATAACAGGGAAAAATGTAATATATTTTGTGTAATTTTTTATAGCCAGGCTCAGGAGAAATAATCTTTTTAATATGTTGTACAACTGATTTTTCTAAGACACTTGGGGGTGGGGATGATGTTGGTGTTTGACAAAAACCCGTGAACAGTTAATAACATACTATATCTAAAAACTGTGGAAAAAAATGTTATCTTTGAAATGTTTGGTTTTTAATTTTCTCTTCAGATGTGGAGTATGTGTTCAACAGTCTGTTCTCATTGGTGTTATATGAACCACCAGAAGTGCTTAAAACCCTGGTAGAGCTGCTTACTGAGAAGCTGGTGAAGGGTAACGGTGAGAGGTCGGCCACACGACTGAGGATGTAAGCTTGAAATTGTTGTCTCTGGAGACCTTTCCGAAATGTCCATTAAACTTAACAACTGGCCAATCAAAACAAGCGAGAAATACATACCTGTCTAACAAGCATATGTGTTGTCTCATGTTTATGTACTTTTTGTGGGACCTTGGCAACAGTATCCATGGGCGTGGCTTAGCAAAATGGTCCATTTTTTTATACTTTATTTGGAACTTGGTGCCATTATTTTTAAGGAAATAAGTAATGAATTTTGAATTACTGTTCTGACATTTTGCCAAATGAACATTTAATTCACTTATTTTCTCTTTTTTCTTTTTTTCATACTTACTTCACCACCACCATTCTTACCACCTCCATTCCCCACCCTCCTTCCCACCTCCATTCCCCCACTTCATTATATTTATAAATAATAATGCATTCTCTCTTCTGTGACAGCTGGTCTACAGTCCTCACACAATCAAATTTTTTTTGTAATGTTCTTTTATCTTTACTTTACAGACTTCACAATCTTTTCAATGGTGTTGAACCCGAGAAGAGGTTGGCTTTTGAGGTTTATTGTGGTATGCTCAAACTGGCCTGCAAAACAAAGAATTGTGATGGTTTCCCTACAGATTTAGATAGGGTGAGTATTGTAACTCTAATTTTTTTTGTTTGGTGGTAGGGCTCAGGAAGCTACAAAACATTTCAGATGGTTTAAATCAATGCCACTCTATGAGTATGGTCCCCGCTAATGATGTTAATAATCTAAAATTTTCAGAGGACTCAATTAGTTTAAATTTAGGCTAACTTACAGTCGAAAACTTTTGCATGTTAATAAAAAATATTTTGGAGATGATGGGGTGCTTAACCTTCTTTAACCCTTCACCCCTTCTCAAATCTGCCTCTGTAAATACTCACAATTGCTTCTTTATTCTTTTTTAAAATTTGACAAATTGTAATATTTTTTTCAGGTACGGAAGTGGTCAGATCTGTGGAAGCTAAACAAGGATGAAACACATCATCTTCTAAAGCTTCTGTATGATGCCTTACAAGAATGTAAACAGAGGTATGTCAAAAGCCAGTTTGTCTTTATTGTCATTGGAGAATGAATAAAAAAAAATGACGCAAAAAACTTTAAATATATGTAACTTACTTTTTAAACTGCTAAAATTTTCTTGTTACTCTTTAGCTACATTTCACTCTTGTCATTGCTGATATTAATGTATTTGCATAATTTTGTTCGTATTTAGTGAGGCCTCAAGTAAAGTGATGATAGAGCTTCTGGGAACGTACACAACAGATAACGCTTCAAAGGCAAGGGACGATGCACACAGGTGTATAGTGAACACCTTAGCTGACCCAAACATTTATCTCTTAGATCACCTGATCGCTTTACGGCCCGTAAAGTTTTTAGAGGGAGAGCTCATACATGATGTAAGTGACTGTTAAATAATGGATCTTTCCGAAGTGTCAATCAAACTTAACAACTGGCCAATCCATCCATTTTTTGTGATGGATTGACTATGCTTAAAGTATGTGCATAAAATATGTTTGTTGCAATGTGTGATGATCTTGCAGTCAAAATATTGAATTGCAGCTTCATAACATATTTTTGAATTATATTTTAATACTAATAGATTGATTCCAATTTTCTTGCAGCTTCTAACAATATTCGTGTCTGGGAAATTAAATGATTATCTGGAATTTCAAAATTCCAACAGTGATTTCATTAAATCCCTAGGTAAGTTTTTGCTGAATTTTCTCACTGAACGAAAATTATATTGTATTGTTTTTTATAGTTTATATACACATTATTTTTAATATTTTAAAGATATATTGTCTGGTAATGATATGATCTGGAATATAATTTCAGGCATTCAATTAAAATATTGATTATTAGTCATAATCCATAATTTTATTTTACTCTAAGTAAGAATTTGAGTAGAATAAAAATATTACTCAAATCAGAAAACATATGACATTGTAACAATTTAAGAATAAATAGCATAAAATAAATGTTAATATTAATATGTTATTAGTTGTAAACATCCCTTTTTCTACGATTAGTTTAAATGTTTGTTCTGTGTGACACAAATCCATTTCTCAATTTCTGTCCAAACATATGTAATACTTTAGAATTACCATCAAATGCTTAAGTTGATTATCAACAAATTTAAAAGTACTGGTATATGTTTTGCTTAATATACAATTGGGAGTTTCACTGTTGCCTGGTTGCAGGATTATCACATGAAGATAACATCACCAAAATGAGGACGTTGACCCTAATGACACTGGCAGTGGAACACAAAGACTTGACCTTTGACCTCATCGAGAAGGAGATGCAGATAAGCGAGGATGAGGTAGAAGGGTTCATTATTGATGCGGTGAGAACAAAAATGGTACGAGCCAAGATTGACCAATTACAGAAGAAGGTTGTTGTGAGGTAGGAAGAATTCTTTATCATGTGTTTATTTCATTCTAATTCATTTTTTCTAGTCACACTAGAACAACATACGCTATAAAGCTTTGTCCACAAAAAAGCTGCTGTATGCCCATATATAGTCATGATGTGCCTATATATGGTCATGATGTGATGTCGTCATGACCATATTTGAGTTGTTTGCCTATTATTTGAGCAAAGCATTGTTTTCTTTTATGAATTATGTTGTCATTTCTTTGATCAGTTGGACATCTTGCCTTGTCTTACCCTTGTCTTTAGTGCCTCACACATACTTAGTACTACCATGGAGGAAATTTCCATTTGGGTGATTCTGCACGACGAATGGGCATGTTTGGCCTTATCCAGTGTAACCATGGGGACCTTTAGTTTAGGCTTACTTTAACCGTTATTTTCTTAATGAATTTGGCATCTACAGTCAATAAATCCTTGGGGCTATTTCGTGTTTTAATTATGTTTCTGACAAAATCATTCATATGGTGCTGGTCGAAAGCCAATCACTGTAGTCAGTGCAGCGACGGTCGCAACTAGGCCTACGCGACGCTGATCGTTCATTAGATGGAAATCTGTTTTGTAAATAATTCTCAAGAAAATTGCCAAAAAATAAAGCGAGAAATTAACACTGTGTAGGTATCAATTACAAAATTAATTTTTGTTCGCTACCTGTTTATTTGGCTTTGCCCAAATTAGACCAATCAGGAATTGGCAATCTGCAAAATAACATTTGGATAGGTAAATTATTTTTTTTTTTAGATCCGACAACCTCGTCCTGGCATCAGGGGACTAGGTGAGGGACCTGGTTTCACCACTGCTTTTTGATGCACCTCGTGATGGCGTCGGATGCGAGGGGAATCCCCGCTGGCACCACCACTGCTTGGGGGTGCTGAATGGCATTCTAGCTGGCTTGGCTGCCAAAAACTCACGATCCTTGGATTTATTTAAACTAAATTTTAAAACTCATCTATTTCAATCCATCTACTGTAGTCTACTCTGGTTCCACGTACATATCTTTTTACATTTCTATTTATTACTCCACTACTTTATTCAATTCATGCTCTATGTATACTTTCAAGCCTTTGATCATTTATTGTGAAATTGGTGCATAACAAATGTTTATTATTCAATTATTTTTTCACCTCTTTCATTTTGTGTCAAATAGAAAAATCTCTTTTACGATTGATTTCAGTTTTGCTACTCATCGGACATTTGGCAAACAACAATGGATGCTACTGCGGGAACGGTTAGAACAGTGGCAGAGGAATTTGGGACAAGTAACAAATGGACTGGATTCGCTAAACACAGCTATGACGCAGGCAGCGGCGCAATGAGTCCATTAGTAACGGACGTGACATTGCTGATTATATATTTCCTGTTATCTTTATCACAAAAAAAAAACCTGAGTGTGAAGAGGAATATTTCCTTCTTATTCAACAGCAAGTGCATTCACCATTAACATGCAGCGGTGGCTCCAGTGGGGTCAGGGGGAATTCCCCTTGTTTGACAATCTTGGCCAATGTCATTGTATGTTACTTAAGGTCATCAGTCTATAAAAAATACTAATTTGTTGATCCAACTGAAGTTATTGTTATTGTAGATTCTTAAGTTTGTGGTCTAAAAGCACAATTTGTTAACATCTCATATCTCTGTTGCAAAGGGATTCACATTTTTGACCCCCCACCAGTGGATATTCCCCAGGGTCATGAACAGAGGCCCAGGCAGCCCCTTGGCTTGGACCCATGCAGACATTTGAGAATTACTAAAGCGATCACTGCTGAATATTTTGGACTTTTGTGGGTTATGCTGAATAAATACAATAAATACCCATTAAACTACTATACGCCTTAGATATTGTTTCGACAATTCTACGTAATTCTGAGGTGTTGATTGGTGGACCAGGAGCTGGTTTGACCCTTCCAAACTCCAGTCCTATCTTAGTGCACTATGGCAGTTCAGAGGTCAGAATATACACAGTGATTAAACTATAATTAGCCATACTGTACTATAATTAACTTAACTGTACTACAAAAATTACATGTTAAACAGTGAAGTAAAATGTACAATTATAAATATAATTATTATGTACCTGCCAGCGTACATGAGGTGTATTAGTATATGATTATATTATTTGAAACATGGAGAAAAATCTTGTAAGTAAACCAAAAAAAACACAGAAACCATATAAAACTATTTAAGCAATATTATATTATTTGTAATGCTACAAAAACAGCTATCCCAAAATGGGTAATCATTATTTGATCATGGAGTGGACTACATTGATCTTTAGCCAATCAGAACATAGCCAGTTCATCGTTCAATATAAGCCTGGTTATCACGAGAGCCCTAGTATCCGGATCGTGAGCTAACCGTTAAAGCTAACCGTTAGCACCTGTGTGAGAACGCCCGATTAGTTAGCGCTAACCGTTAGCGGTATCCGGATACCGCTAACGGTTAGCAAGCGCTATCGGTTAGCAAGTGATCGCGTTTCTATCGTCAACCAATCACACGTACGCTTTGTAAGCGTTTACAATTTCCAGTTTCTTATTGGCCAGTGATTCGATCATCGTATTCTTGGTATCCGGATCAGGATTTTCTCATATGGACGCACGGCAGCTAACGGTTAGCAGGATCCAGTTCCTGCTAACCGTTAGCTGCCGTGTGAGAACATGGCCATAATCTCCCTAATAAAAAATGTATCCGGGCAAGTCAAGACGTTAAATCCATTTGGTAGTAGTGTATTTAAGTGACCAAGAATTTGTTTAAGAAAATTGTAGCAACACAGACAGAAATGGTGATGTATTTGTGAGAGTTAACAACCAGGATAAATTTGATTATGTTGTGTCAGTCAAATTGAATGTTGATTAATAGAAGGCCATGTGACTGTTCCTCGATATAATGGCCTGAGCTGCTCCAAGCAACTACAACTATATATACAATAAAGATAGGGAGAAAGAAAAGGACTTTTTTTGCGTGTTTATAATGTTATTATTGTGTGTATGATGGTATTGCGTAAGAAATCACGTCTTTGCATTTATTTTGTTCTGTGTTCTGGAGATCATACAAATGTTTTCTGTGGCACATACAAGAGATAGATCCATCGCCTTCGAATTAGATTTAAATATACACTCAAGTAAAATGCATTTAAAATTATTACAGCATACATGTTTTTTAATCGATCTTAAAATCAATGTGTCCTTGAAACTTGGAAAATTTGAACAGGAATGTCCTGGAATTGTCCTGGAAATTTGCTGGTTTAAAAATGTACGAACCCAGACTCATGGTTTTTGTCGAAATCAGACGATTTTTTTTTTTTTTTCTGTTGTTTTGTTTTCTGTGGCACCTACGGGCCCTACCAATGGACGAATTAACAAAAATCGACTAGATGAAAGACAGCTTAATTTTGGGAGAAAACCCAAAGAGTCATGGTTTTTTTTTAAATTGGACGATTAACAGAAAATGGCATGATGAAAAACAGCCAAATTTTTGAAAAAAAAAAAAACAACTAGGTAAAAAATAGCTAAATTTTTGGAAAAAAGAACACTAAGGGTATAGCTTATGTTTTTTGTCGAAATTGGGAAGACTTTTCGACCATCTCATTCATGTGTTGTGTTCTGTGACACTTACGGATCTTACAAGTGTGTTCCGTGGCACCTACGGACCTTACCAATGGAAGAATCAGCAAAAAAACAAAAACAAAAAAAACACCAGAGTGAAAAATCACTCAGTTTTGGAAAAAAATAGAAAGGCTATAGCTAATGGTTATTGTAGAAATTGGACGATTTTATCTACTCTCCAATTTTTCCGCTGTATTCTGTTCAGTAGAGACTATAGATCATCATACGAATGTGTTCTGTGGTACCCAGGGACTCTACTAATGGAAGAATAAAAAAAATTACTAGATAAAAAAAAATAGCCCAATTGTGGAATAACACAAAGGGCTCATAGTTTTTGCCGAAATTGGAGATTTTTTTGACTATCTCTTTTTCCGTTATTTTGTGTTTTGCGGAGCCTACTGCAGATCATTCGATTGTGTTCAGTGGCACCTACGGACCTTAGTAATAGGAGAATCTGCAAAAAATGACTAGGTGAAAAATAACCTAAATTTAAAAATAAAAAAAACACGAAGGGTACATTATAGCTCATGGACTTTTTCGACTGTCTCAAACGCCCCTTAATTCTACTGTTATTAAATGTAATTCTACTTGAGTAAAACATTAATAGAAAGTGTTGAATGACGGCTGGAGCTGCAGTGTGATGTTAACAACCAGGAAATTTGAATTCAAGACGGGAGTCAGGCAAGGTTGCCTGCTGTCCCCATTCCTCTTTCTCCTAGTCATAGATTGGATCATGAAAACATCTACAGATCAGAGGAGAAATGGGCTCCGGTGGATCTTGTGGAAACAAATTGACGATCTGGACTTTGCAGACGATTTGGCACTCTTGTCCAATAACGGATACCAGATGCAAGATAAGACCACAACCATTGCAGATATGTCTTGTTCAGTGGGCCTCAACATTCATAAGGGAAAAACAAAAGAAGGGGAATGGTCCATTGTATCATCCCCCAATGTTTTGACTATGTATGGGATAAAATGGAGCTTTACACACTTCAAAAGACTGTCACAGAAATAATTTGCACTGTCTTATGCGCTTACAAAGATGAAAATTAGCATAATGTATTAATGTTCATAACAATATGATTTTATCTGGTACCAATCTAAGCTCAACTTTCCTTAGATGTTAGATGTGCTTGCAAAGAGAGCCACACTTCACATTGAAGGGTGTGTAAGACAGTAATGTTATGTCAATTCCGGTTGATATGGCAATATCGGTTGATGAGGAATTTATTGATTAGGCCAATAATAGCAAATTGCATCAATTTATTTTGCAAAAACCAGGTTTCCAGCTTCAGAGGGGGGGCACATCCCCTGTCCTCACAAGGGCACACATTGGCGCTAACACCAGGCGCTTAACAGGGGTCTTGGGTCAGAGTGTGTATTTATTTATTTTTTTTTTTTTAGTAATTAGGAGAAATGGGCTCCAGTGGACCTTGTGGAAACAACTTGACGACCTGGACTTTACGGACGATTTGGCACTCTTGTCCAATAACGGATACCAGATGCAAGATAAGACCTCAACCATTGCAGATATGTCTTGTTCAGTGGGCCTCAACGTCCATAAGGGAAAAGCAAAAATTATGAAAATAAATACATCCAGTACTGCATCAGTCAGTCTGCAAGGACATACGTTGGAAAAACTTGAGTCCTTTACATACCTTGGAAGTATTATCAATAAGCATGGTGGCTCAGACGCGGATGTCAGAGCAAGGATTTGAAAAGCTAGAACAACATTCCTACAACTAAAAAAACATATGGAACTCAAAGGTTTTATCACAGAAAACAAAAATAAGATTGTTGAACTCAAATGTTAAATCAATTTTACTTTATGGAGCCGAATCATGGAGAACGATTAAGAATCATCAATAAAATTCAGACATTCATCAACAACTGCCTAAGAAAAATTTTAAAAATACATTGGCCCGAGAAAATCAGTAATGTGGATTTATGGGATAGAACAAAACAACATCCAGTAAAAGACGAAATTGGCAGAAGAAAATGGTCAAGGGTTGGACACACTTTAAAAAAACCTACATCCAGCATCACCAGACAGGCTCTTACATGAAACCCGCAAGGTAAACGGAGAAGAGGACGTCCGAAAACACCTGGCGAAGAGACCTACAAGCAGCCATCAAGAGGACGGACTATACCTGGAGAGAACTGGAGGGAAAGCCAAGGAAAGAGGACTCTGGTGAGAAATCGTTGACGGCCTATACCCCTTGGGGTGAGGGGCTTAAGTAAGTAAGTCTTATAAGTAAGTAAGTTGAGAATGATATTCACATTATATCGGTTTACAGTCAAGGGGAAGTTTATTCGAGGAAAAAATATACGCCACGAGGTGTTTTCGAAAGAGGCGTTTATTCCAAATGAGGCTCTAGAAGGGGCGTTTATTCAAAGCAGAGCGTTTACACGGGTACAAATACGGGAATGTAAATGGCTTCTCCCTGATTCACATCATTTTTTCAAAAGCACAATGTTAATTAGTCTAGAAATAATTAATTATTTATTGAGCGCCCTCTATAGTTTGAAAAGTGGAAAACTTGCTGGCGGCGGTAGGCCTAGCATGCGATGTAGGATTCACGTGCTAGCAACGTATACGTTAGTGTTGAGGCATATAAGCTAGAATGATTGATGTTTGTCTTTGAAATGTTTACAAGGTTTCTGTAATAGGACAGAGAAAGGGTGAGCTTTATACGAACCTATGAATATTGCATAGTTAAGATTTGATGATGATTTTGTGAGATATTAGAATTTTAAACCAAGCGTTGATTACCGCACGTACGAACGTTGCGCGGACGCCATATTTTCTGTACGCAGTTAATTATGCGGAGCCTAGGCCTAGGCCAGTTAAACCAAGCTAAACTTTAAAATAAATAAATTTCACAATAAGACGGTGTTTGTATTATTAATATAACATTTATTCTGTATCCCTGATTTATGATAAGCAGCTACGTTGTAGAAAGCATAGATAAAAATAGGATATAGGCCTAGTGGTGTTGAAATAATGGTATACAGGCCCGAGCCAGGTCATTTCAAGAGGGGGTTCTCTGGGCGTGGGATCCAGGGGCCTGCCTAAGAAGGGCCACGGTAGGGTCGAAGCCGGAGCAGTTTTTTTTTGTTTAATGGGTCTATATAAAGTTATAAAAGCAGTTATGTTTTGAAAAAGATCTATGTAATAAAAAGGTGGTAATATAATATAATTAGAAAATATTTTCTTAGAATTGGCATGTTTAAGTCACACCGAAAAAAGAAAAAAACCCTCATCGCATAATCAACATGAATATACTGAACATATTTAATATTATAAAACAAAAAGGCTATTCTTCTTCCTCCTCTTCCTCTTCCTATACTTCTTGTTCTACTACTCTTCTTTACTCTCACTTTGTACACTGGAAATAATAGTAAACCTACTATTTTACTACATATATTCTACAAATCTACAAATATTGTCCTTACTACTGACAGGGCCAGGGCCATCGTTAAATGAAGTCAGAGCCAAAAATATAACATCATATTCAATACGTCATCTAACATCATGGGAACCTAAACTTTAATTACAATTATTTGTTATATACTAGGCCTATTCGAAATTATTATTTTAAGACTTTAACATATTAATACATACTGATTAATAATAGCTGAGATTTGATGCACATTTAAGAATTAATAATCGTTTTTAGTATATCTTACTGAATATTTATTTTCTACCAAATGAAATATGAATCATATATGAATCTTTAAAAATACAATTTATATAATATTAATCTTGTTTTTATATAGATAAATGTTCAATAAATTCTATCTTTCATAAAATAAAATAAAAAAAATGAAATTCAGTGCGTCTATATTTATTCCAATCAATGGCGTTTGTAAACGTGCACTGACGTCATCGTCGAATCTCAGGACTTTCGACGGTAAAGCTGGCATGCCTGCCTAGGTCTTAGGCCAACCAATAATAATAAACAAAATGTATTTTTTTTAATATAGGCCTATGGCGCATCATGTACATGCACTTTAACTTTTACAACAAACTAGGCCATGAGAAAATAGAATATAGATGTAAATATAACTAGAAAGTCAAAGGTAAAGATTTGAAACACTTTCGTTTTGGCATTCAGCGTTGCATTTAAATCTTTTTAATTATTTTGTAAATACACAGTAAATTAGGGCTGACTTCTTGGAGCCGAGTTGACATTGTATCGAGTTGCAGGTCAAGCAGCCCGGGCCCATTGGCTAGGGAGGGCCTTCTCTTATTAAACTCGCAGTAACTCACCAGTTTAATATTATTAATTCAGTATTTATTTTTTTCTTTTATTTTTATTTTTAAGACGTCACTTATGTGAGCCATCGTAAAGTGATGGTTTGCTGGAGTTGCGTTCAATTTAAATCTCCGAACTTCCAAAGCTGAGATATTCTATGAATGTAGGCTTGTATCAATTGCTACAATTTAAAAAACGGATGACCATATAATGAATTAGGCAGTGCTAAATTTTGATTTTTAATGCTGGGTAGGGCCTAGGCTAAGTTAAAAACAGACATTCCGTCCGAGTGGGACTCATTCAAAAATTCGAGGGGGTTCGCTAGAAAACAGGGGGGTTCACTAGAAAAGGGGGGTTCGCCCGAACCATAAAAACCCCCCCTGGCTACGGGCCTGGTATAAATGCATTATTGTACTACGAACAGTTCGATCGCATAACTTGATAGGCCTTGAGAAACGTCGCTGTTCATTTTCTTTCTTCACGCTTGAGTGAACATCAACATGAATATTAATTAGGTAGTCGAAGATAGGCTATTTACTATGTATTGGATGTATTATTTTCGATATAGACTTTTGTATTATGCATTAATTGTATTTCAGATTGGATTTATGATTCAATGAAAACTTATGTACAGTATAATGATGCGGAGAGATCAAAATTTACGGTATGGCAAGAAATATTGATAGAATCTGTATAATTATAAATAATCATAGATAATTAATAATCATTTACATACCATGATTATAACCTTTATGATGAATCGTTTAATTAAATCTGGATGCTTTTTAACATATCTAGAAAATTAATGAAGTGAACTTTATAGGCCAATTACTTTAAATGAGAATGTTTAATGAGCTGCTTTGGTAATTAGGCATAGCAAATGACATTATGTTGAATTATTGTAAGGTTTGTTTTTGTTTGCTTCTTATAGCAACGCCAAATTGTTCAAGAGAAGGAATTGAATAAAGTTCTCGTGTTTGAATACTCCGTCATCTGTACATAAAATTGCGTAAATTGCATCCAGGACGCCAACAGTTGGGCGAATTGTATTAAGGAAGCAACCAAATCATGTCTAGTCGTTCAGGTAGCACTAAGTCATCGACTGCATCAGCACTTCGACTATCTGCAGCCAAATCCGTCACTAGTTGAATACCTTCATCAGAGCACCTAACGCTTTTCAATAAGTCGTAAACATAAAAATTCCTCTTAAGCATTTCTACTGCCTTGTGGTTGCTGACACCTTTACCATCTTCGGCGGCCTGCAAGTGTTGAATTGGCACATGCGGGAGAGGATGCAGCGCCAAACAAGTGTACTCGCATCCTATACTCCACAGGTTTAGCTTGAAGATCTCCTTCTGGAAGCCACAGAAACCTTAGGAAATTCCTGTCTTTTTTGGGAACAAGCACTTGATGGAACATCGCTTCCACATCGGCCATCAATGCCACCTCATATTCTCTAAAACGCAATACACTCCCAAAAGGCTACTTGTCAAATTAGGACCTGGGAGCAGCATATCATTGAGTGCAATGCCTTGATACTTAGCGGCACAATCGAACACCACACGAATCTTCTTTTTCTTTGGGTGGTAGACGCCATGATGCGGAATATACCACGATTTTTATTTATTTTTAGACATATAACCTAAATACTAGTAAGTGATATTCAATTTAGAGACGTAGACAGTAACTTGTTTACCAATGCACTATAATTACAGTATGGTGACCCGACTATACATAACCTATATGAAATAACCATACTGTATATTGTGTCATACAGGTGTTGATCGTTATTATATTAATTTGCAGAATAATTATTGTTAGGAGTTTTATGTTAATCTAACATTGACTTAATTGTAAAATTATTGTCATGTTGCTTTATGGTTTTGTTTCAGTTCCATTAGTATTTATTAAATTGTGGTTGACACTAACTGGCGGAATTAAGCTACACACCAAGTTACGCTTTACTGAAACCAGTACAGGAGTACTGTATATAATGACTCATATGTGGAAATTCCGAAAGTCCTATCTAAACTACCCAGTAATAGGCCTATATCATGATTTGTTGGAGCGGTAGATGCAGCAGTTGTGATTATGGCTTTAACCCAAACCGAATTATGGGCTTGAGGTTGGGGGGTAAAAACAATTTGTTTGCTTGCCCTTCTTTTTTTTGAAAATGATAAATAGAGGCAGGTGCAAACATTTTTTATTTCTTTATTTTTCAATACTCATATGATGGTATAAATATAACCCACAGAGGCCTAGAACAACTGTAACTAATTTGTGGGGCATCTGGCAAAAAATAAAGGTATTTTCACTCACTTTTTTTTTAAATTTTTACAGAAGAAAGCTAAAAAACCCCTTTTTTTCCTGCTCTATTTTTTGAGTGAGTTAGGGGCGGGTGAATGAAGGCAAACACAAATTTTTTTTGGCCTTTGAATAAGTCACATGGTTACTATTTTTTTCCTTCTGTCTGTAAATTTCTCACTTTATCCATTTCCATTTCATGTGTTGTATTGCCACGTTTTTCTTGTAGATCGCCATTACCTGAAATTAATAATTCCATAAGTTTTCTTATTAACAGTTACTGTACATAGGGGGAAAAAATCATGTATAATAAATATTGAATCTTATTGCCTCAGTGTATTTCCACTGATCAAACTTGCATTATGAATTTACTTGATACAATGTTTAAAGATGTACAGTCTCATGCAAATGAAACCAAAATAATCATAAAGAATTAAAAAAATAATGATTTGCTCCTTTGAAATTAACATATCCTTTTTCAGGGAACAATACTTCTTTATGTAGGCTCAGTTCCTGGTGAATATTTTATATATTATATGTTTCTGCTGCAATCAAAAACACCCTCATGGTATTGGTTTGAAGAGCTAATTTAAATAGCCATGTTAATACTGACCTTTTCTTTAGTGATCTTTTCCTCCATTAGGCCACCAAAGAGTGTCTTCAGTAAGCCAATGTCGATGTCCGAGAACACGTATCTGGTCCGGCGACAGTTCTGTTTTAAAGTATATATTTACTCAGTTAAAACATGGTATTAAGCTACGTTCACACCAAGCCCGGATCCGCTCCGGAGCCTGGATAAAAAATCGTGAGTTACTACGTTTTTTTGAAAGCTGCGTCCACATCGCACACGGAACACGGCTGTTCGGGTTAAGTACGCGTGCGTTTGATTGGTCCGAACCAATCAAGCTTCTTGCTGATTGGTCCAAGAAAAAAAAAACGATTTCAGGATACAAATGGCTCTCAGATCCATCGGTTCATATCCGGAGTCCGGATTGGAAATCTTACGAATTTGATGTGAACGGTCCTATTTACCACTGAACCCCTTTTTCACAATTTTTTCTCTGGACTCCGGACCGGAATCCGGGCTTGATGTGAACGTAGCTTAAGTTTAGTTAAGTCTGAAATATGTATTACTGTACATGGATATACTATACTTTGAATAATTGTCCTGATTAAAGGCAGGCTTTTTGGAGATTTCATTCTAATTTAAAGTATAAATGATTAAGACAAGTACAGTATATTACAATGAATATGCATGAAACTGAAGTTTATAATGACTGAAATATTGTATCTTTATATCTATATATATTATATATAAATTTGTTAATGATCGAGTGATACTACATCTGATTGTACCAAAAGCGAGAGTTTTTAAATAACATTAATTTTCAGGAAAATAGTTTGAAAATACCAAAATTAAATATTTCTTTTGGCAGGAGGCAATATAAAAACCTTTAAATAACTGAAGATTTAAGACCTCTGACATTAGGGAGAATTGGCAACTTCACAAAAATGGTAACAATTACAAATATATAATTTTCATTTTTGACATTCTTTCCAAAATATTCTTTGATAACTCATACGAGCTGCTGAAAACTTTAGAACTCAAAAACAGTTCAATATTGTAATTCATACATAAAACAAAAAAACACGTTATATTTTCATTGCGGATTTTTTGGGCTCAGTACGGACTCCAAAAGTATGCATTTTCTTTTTGTTTTATAGCGTAACGTGTTAAAAACAAAAGTGGAAAATATGCTACTGTAGGGGATGGACTAAAAAAAAATCATGATGTAAATCATATTCATTATCATTTTTGTGAGCTTGCAAAAATTCACTGTTATCTACACAAAATTTTTTCAGTTATTACTCTACCGGCAAAGTCACAGGGGCCTCTGTGGTATCCTCCACTGTGGTTGTGGCTTCCACTTCTGAGTCGGTAATATTCTCTTCTCCACCTTCATCATGCCCTGGCACATCTGGTTCCTAGTCAAATAAAATATTGATATAAAAATAAATTGCTACTAAAACTGTTTAATTTTAAAGTGCAAACAGTACATTACTTACAGTTTATTTTATCTTTATCAATAGATGCTTGGCAACAATGGCATCTTCCTGCCGTTGGGCAGCTTTATAATACGCATTTTGCGTATTGATGGAATGATGCATATACTCCGCAATAAGCCTGCGGTTTTTTTCTTGATGATTGTGTTGCCATGACTGTAAAATAAAAAAATCATAATTACATAATACTTAAGGTTAAAAAAAATTAAATATGTTACACTGGGAGGGTTGTATGTGTTCAATGTGTAATAGACAATAGTGAAACAAATTTAATGTCTTGTTTTAGGAAAACTAAAGGATGCACTCACTTCACTTTCTTAATCCTTAAAGATAACAATAATATTAATATTTTTTTTTTCATATGTTATTTATTTCATATGTTAATCATCAATTAAATAAGAAATACAGTACAGTGTATTTATAATTCACAGACAGAAGCAATAGAATAATGTTTCTCTGCATTAATGTTATTGTCTAACTTGTCACTATAGTAACATTTTGATGATATATGTGGAAATCAAATTTTAGTACAAAATAAAATAGTGTAAATGCTCAGTTTGGCTATACTATATTCTTTATGGTTATGTTTATGACCAATTTGTTTGAGTTGCATAAAAATAAGTCTTATTAAGGTATTTGAGAGTGGAATTACTTTGTTGAGAAATGGAATATTTGCCACTTTTATAGTATCAATATTCCACTTAAATATATTTATATTGAACTACATTTCTAGTGTACTGAATCTAAATTTTAAAAATAACACGTAAATGTCTTGAAAATTTTCATTATGAAGTGCAGGTCTTACCATAGTAGCAATTTGCTTACGAAAGTGGGTGCAGTTAATTATGCCATAGTCATGTTAAGTCCTGACATGGTCTGATTTCCTGTCCACTGCTTGTTTTGAAAAATGTCTGGCTAAATGCAGCGCCGACAATTGGATGTACTTGTTTTCTATACATTCTCATTAATTCATAGAGGTCTTTCTCAAGAACCAAGATTGCTGGTCCGTGATAAGAGGTTTTGTGATTTGAAACCTAATCAAGTAAAAAAAGGATGATTCAGTAATAATAATGACTTTATTTGAAAACGGAAAACTTGATCACAAATTAAATGTGTCTTCACAAGGCCGTTTCTGAAGTACATAATAACAAAATTTAAATTACAAAAACAATTACAAGACAAACAGAAATAAAGAAGTAAAATAAACCAAAATAAAACAATTACTGTATTATCTTATGCAAGTAACTTTCAATTATTTGTTAATAGTTTTTTAAAAGTTTGAACATTTGAGGCCATTCTCATATTGAGGTTTAGGTTATTCCAGACAATGGCTCCCTGATAGGTAAAACTTCTTTTCTTATATTCTGTGCTGGGTTTGGGTACCTTAAGTATGTCCTTAGACCTGGTCATGTATGTTGTATTGCGCTCTTGAAATTTGTTTTTTAAATAAGTTGGCATTTGAGAATTTTTTATATTGTGTGCTATATATAATATATATGTAAAACCAATAAATATTAATTGTCATTTTTTTTATGATAGTTTTATATGCAATTGTACCTAAATACTCTAGCTATTAGGTGCTATAATTATTCTATAAAGTTTTAGGTAACTTTTAATTTATGTGTCATGTTAAATGTGTAAATATATCAGCTAGACCCCTTGCCGTTGCGCGGCTTTATAATATGCATTTTGTGTATTTATCGAGTGGTGCATGTACTCCGCAATAAGCCTGCGGTTTTTCTCTTGATGGTTATGTTGCCATGACTGTAAAATAAAAAAATCATAATTACATAATATTTAAGGTTAAAAAAAAATTAAATATGTTACACTGGAAGGGTTGTATACAGTATGTGTGTAAGTTCAATGAGTAATAGACAAATAGTGAAACAAATTTAGTGTCTTGTTTTAGGAAAACTAAAGGGTGTACTCGCTTCACTTTCTTAATCCTTAATGATAACAATAATATTAATGTTTTTTTATATATTTATTTATTTCATATGTTAATCATCAATTAGATAAGAAATACAGTACAGTGTATTTATAATTCACAGACAGAAGCAATAGAATAATGTTTCTCTGCATTAATGTTATTGTCTAACTTGTCACTATAGTAACATTTTGATGATATATGTGGAAATCAAATTTTAGTACAAAATAAAATAGTGTAAATGCTCAGTTTGGCTATACTATATTCTTTATGGTTATGTTTATGACCAATTTGTTTGAGTTGCATAAAAAATAAGTCTTATTAAGGTATTTTAGAGTGGAATTACTTTGTTGAGAAATGGAATATTTGCCACTTTTATAGTATCAATATTCCACTTAAATATATTTATATTGAACTACATTTCTAGTGTACTGAATCTAAAGTTTAAAAATAACACGTAAATGTCTTGAAAATTTTCATTATGAAGTGGGTCTTACCATAGTAGCAATTTGCTTACGAAAGTGGGTGCAGTTAATTATGCCGTAGTCATGTTAAGTCCTGACATGGTCTGACTTCCTGTCCACTGCTTGTTTTGAAAAATGTCTGGCTAAATGCAGCGCCGACAATTGGATGTACTTGTTTTCTATACATTCTCATTAATTCATAGAGGTCTTTCTCAAGAACCAAGATTGCTGGTCCGTGATAAGAGGTTTTATGATTTGAAACCTAATCAAGTAAAAAAAGGATGATTCAGTCATTTTTTATATTGTGTGCTATATATAATATATATGTAAAACCATTAAATATTAATTGTCATTTTTTTTTATGATAGTTTTATATGCAATTGTACCTAAATACTCTAGCTATTAGGTGCTATAATTATTCTATAAAGTTTTAGGTAACTTTTAATTTATGTGTCATGTTAAATGTGTAAATATATCAGCTAGACCCCTTGACTTTCTTTAAACAATGTTGATAAAATGATTTCATTCATATCGGGTTAAAACCGAAAGGTCCACTAATTAGATAAGAAGAAAGGATGGATGATTCTAAAAATGCATTATTATTTTACAACTGGTAGTTAAATTTACTACTATCTAAATATGCTACTGTAGGGGATGGATAAAAAAAAATCATGATGTAAATCATATTCATTATCATTTTTGTGAGCTTGCAAAAATTCACTGTTATCTACACAAATCTTTTTCAGTTATTACTCTACCGGCAAAGTCACAGGTGCCTCTGTGTTATCCTCCACTGTGGTTGTGGCTTCCACTTCTAAGTCGGTAATATTCTCTTCTCCACCTTCATCATGCCTTGGCACATCTGGTTCCTAGTCAAATAAAATATTGATATAAAAATAAATTGCTACTAAAACTGTTTAAGTGCAAAACAGTACAGTACTTACAGTTTCTTTCATCTTTCTCAGAAGATGCTTTGCAACAATGGCATCTTCCTGCCGTTGCGCGGCTTTATAATATGCATTTTGTGTATTTATCGAGTGGTGCATGTACTCCGCAATAAGCCTGCGGTTTTTCTCTTGATGGTTATGTTGCCATGACTGTAAAATAAAAAAAATCATAATTACATAATATTTAAGGTTAAAAAAAATTAAATATGTTACACTGGGAGGGTTGTATACAGTATGTGTGTAAGTTCAATGAGTAATAGACAAATAGTGAAACAAATTTAGTGTCTTGTTTTAGGAAAACTAAAGGGTGTACTCGCTTCACTTTCTTAATCCTTAATGATAACAATAATATTAATGTTTTTTTATATATTTATTTATTTTATATGTTAATCATCAATTAGATAAGAAATACAGTACAGTGTATTTATAATTCACAGACAGAAGCAATAGAATAATGTTTCTCTGCAATAATGTTATTGTCTAACTATAGTAACATTTTGATGATATATGTGGAAATCAAATAAGTCTTATTAAGGTATTTTAGAGTGGAATTACTTTGTTGAGAAATGGAATATTTGCCACTTTTATAGTATCAATATTCCACTTAAATATATTTATATTGAACTACATTTCTAGTGTACTGAATCTAAAATTTAAAAATAACACGTAAATGTCTTGAAAATTTCATTATGAAGTGGGTCTTACCATAGTAGCAATCTGCTTACGGAAGTGGGTGCAGTTGATTGTTTTCTCTTGTCTGACACCCAAAATATGCCAGAGTCGTGTTAAGTCTTGACATGGTCTGATTTCCTGTCCACTGTTAGTTTTAAAAAAATGTCTGGCTTAATGCAGCGCCGACAATTGGATGTACTTGTTTTCTATACATTCTCATTAATTCATAGAGGTCTTTCTCAAGAATCAAAATTGCTGGTCCGTGATAAGAGGTTTTGTGATTTGAAACCTAATCAAGTAAAAAAAGTATGTTTCAGTCATTTTTTATATTGTGTGCTATATATAATATATATGTAAAACCATTAAAATTATAATTGTCATTTTTTTATGATAGTTTTATATGCAATTGTACCTAAATACTCCAGTTATTAGGTGCTATAATTATTCTATAAAGTTTTAGATAACTTTTAATTTATGTGTCATGTTAAATGTGTAAATATATCAGATAGACCCCTTGACTTTCTTTAAACAATGTTGATAAAATGATTTCATTCATATCTGGTTAAAACCGAAAGGTCCACTAATTAGATAAGAAGAAAGGATGGATGATTCTAAAAATGCATTATTATTTAATAACTGGTAATTAAATTTACAATTTAATAAAATTTGTTCATATTATATTTCATTATTTTTCTTTCTTATATCTTTTACTTACCGTTATTGCATATTCTCCTCGAATATATTCAGCTCGGTCAAATTCTCTGAGAAGCTTGTTGGTAATGACCCCTGCACGACATGCATTGCGAATGCATAACAACGAGATTATATATAAGCCAAAAAACACTGTTTCTTCAACAGTGATACCGCTGCCGTTCATAATATTTTCTGAAAACAAAATGTCAAAATTATATTAAGCGAGTCTGTAAAGGTAGCAAAGTAGATGTTTGCCTGTCCCCTCATGATAAGGCTCATATCAAATACAATTTAAAAACCAATTATCATTGTATACATTGTACTGTACATAAATGTTGTAAAATGTTGCATGTAATGTAGTTATGGAAGTGAACTGCAAAATTCATGTATTAAATTGTTTCTGATTAGATTTCATCCCACCCTGGGATTAAATTACAAGGAAAAAAAGACTATTCTTCCATGAAAGTTGAAAAATAATGAAATATATTATGAACAAAATTGTAAATTTAATTAGCAGTTTTAAAATAATAAAGCAGCAGTTGTGACGCTACAGGAAGGTGTGGGGGTGGGTAATAAAAAAAAATTCGAAAAAATATTACCGGTATATGTGTTTTGTACATGAATATAATAGACTAAAATCGATTAAATAAGCCTTTGAAACCCCTAAAGTTTCATATTTTCTGGGGGCTACGTCCCCTGGACCACTTTCGAAAAGTTTTTAGCGACCACCGACCACGCCAATTTTTTCCTTGTCAGGGACGTCATCCCCCGTCGGGGACCTTGGATCCCCTGTCGGGAAAATCCTGCCGCTCTCACTGTAAAGCAGTTTTAGAATCATCTATCCTGGTGCCCATCAGTCATATTAATTTACCAAATTCAAATTTTGTTTTATAAAGTATGCTATATCAGTTATCTATATTTGATTCTTGAAATTTACAGTCTGAAAAAAATGTGACAGTTAAGGTTAGAGCCTTTGTTAGCTTTAAATCTGTCCTGGATTTAGAATGTTTTATAAATTGAAGTTGTTTTTAGTATGCATATTTTTATTTTTCAAACAACAGGAGGGGTTCTTCCATTCCATTTCTTTATCCATGTCAAGTTCATAGAGTCAGGCTTTATGTTCTAGTACTTCAACAATTTTCTGTTAAATATTCCTCCATTGCTAATCAAGCCTTTTCTTACTGTTGTATGATGTACATAACTTTTTCCCTGTTGTCACATCCAGACACCATGTGGCGCTGTTTAGCGTTGAGTTGCGAATAAATCGGTTGTCAAGCAGACGGCCATTGAGTTATTACAATCTGGTTTTAGTGTCTTTCATTATACTTGTTATTGTAACAAACAACATGGTGTCAGAAGTGGTAAATTACATCAAATGGATTAGATGAAATTACAAAGAAGAACCTACCACAACGTAGAATCTCACAAATCAACACAGTTGACAAGAAAACAAAGTTTTCAGGCGCTGGTGTTACCATTGAATGGTCAGGAGACCCTACTCAACCGAGTAGAAGTAGGTGGTACGCTGACGCCCGCGTGAGTACAATTGTTGTTTACAGACGAGGATAGGATAGAATAGGGTGCAGGTCAACTCGGCCACTGTCAACTCTGCCACAAGTCAACTTGGCCACAAGAGAGATTTGAATGCTATTGCCTGTGAATTAAAAAGAGTTATTTATTAACGTGTTCGTCTTCTGTTTACTCACAACATTCTAATTCAACAATAATATTAAACAACAATAACGACAATAAATTAGTAATATTTACTTTAATAATACTAATTAGTCATTATGACGATAATAAAGGTGATAACAACAACACAACAACAACATTAATAGTAATATTTATTTTAACAATACTAATAATATTAGTATGGTAATAATAAAGATATTTAAATATCAATTATAATAACTAATTAGTGATAACAATATTGAAGGTGATAATTGCAATAATACAACAATAATAAATTAAAGATAATGTTTATTTTTATAATAATAGTAATACTAATTAGTAATAATAATAATAATGATACTTATAATAGGCCTACTTACTAATAATAGGGTAATAATATCGATAATAGAGGTGACAACGACAATAATATTAATAATAATAATAATAATATGAGAAAAATACCAAAAACACCAATAACAATAACTTTTTAAATTACTATTATTAAAATAATAATACTAAGACTAATGAATAATAATAAGAATAATAATAAGAGTAATAATAAGAATAATAATAAATCGAAAATTATTTATTATTTATATGGTACTGTAATAATAATAATAATAATAATAGCAAAAATTTGAACAATATATAATGTTATGCCAAGACTAATAATTAATATTAAAACGGTAATAAAAACAACAATAATAATAACAACAATGACAACAATAATAACAGCAATAATAATAACAATAAGTGTAGTAATACTTAGAGAATTAGTATTTTATACTTAATGAATTACCGTACTCCTTCAAAGTGTAGTACAGTACCAGTAAATGACTTGTGGCCGAGTTGACTTGTGGCCGAGTTGATTTGTGGCCGAGTTGACCGTAGCCAAATTTTTTGTGGCCGAGTTGACTTGTGGCTTGACTGTGGCTGAGTTGACTTGTGGCCGAGTTGGATCGAACATAGGATAGGCCTACACAAAGTGTACGGTAAAATTCGTCACCATTAATTCATGCACAGCATATAGGCTAGTGGAAGGAAGATGGCAACTTACCAAATACCACCACCTCCACCAATGATAGTCAAGGATGATAACGAAAAACAATGGAAAGTTTTTCAACAAAATTGGGAAGATTATTTAATTGCAACAGGATTAAGCACTAAGGACAAAACAGTTCAGGCAGCAACATTAAAGTCAATAATGGGACCTGACTGTAAAGAGCGATTGTTAAAATTAGAATTAACAGAAGCACAATTAAAAGATCCAAAGGAAATTTTATCCAAGCTGCAAGCTCACTCACACCCACTCGAAACGTTTTGTACGACAGATTTATATTTCATGGTGCTGAACAACAACCAAAAGAAAACATCAGTCAATATGTACATAGACTGAAACAGTTGGCAGAACCATGTAAATTCAGAGCACTCAACGATGAAATGATAAGGGATCGTTTAGTATTAGGTGCATGGGACAAAACTGCTAGAGCCAGATTGTTCCGCAAGAAAGAATGCAACCTGGAAGGGCAATTGAATTGCTTAAAGTCATTGAAACAACGACGCAGCAGCTATCGGATGTAGCTGGGAATGAAACACTGGTGGTGAATTTTGCAAAGAGTCGAAAGAGTACAAATGACAACAAAGAAAAAACATGGCAAAACCACTACAACAAAGAGTAACAGCACACGGTCAGGTACATGTCGATATATTGCGGGAAAGTTCACGAATTTAAGAAAGAAAAATGCCCAGCCTACGGAAAAAAGTGTGGAAAATGTGGTCTACAGAATCACTCCAAAGAGATGTGTAGAACAAAACAAAGAAAAGCAGTTGTCAACAGAGTAGAAGACACTGATTCAGATGACTCAGCCTTCAATGTTGAAACAGTTGGAGCTATATGTGATAATAATAAAGGCAAACTAATGGTATCACTGCACTTACAAAACACCAGTGGAGAGGTCAAGGCTGTAAAATGTCAAATAGACACAGGTGCTTCATGCATGCAACGTGATGTCTTATCAAGACCTGCAAACACTGGAAGGTACAGACAAGCCGAATATGAGACCTTCATCAACAACACTGAAGATGTATAATGATGAAGCAGTTGCAGTAAAAGGAGAGATTACCATAACCTGCCGACATCAGGCCCGTAGCCAGGTCATTTC